TCGCACCGACAGAAGACTAGGCTAGCATTGATTCAGAGATTGGCTTTACTTCGGGCTACTAGAGCCTATAGAACGATATCTCAGGAGGCAGTGCAAGTACTGGCAGGAGAAACACCTCTCGATCTCCACCTTCGAGAAGACTATTACCTCTTTAAAATGAAAAGAGAAGGTTCGGTGGATCTACCGGAACATCTAAACATGAGAATTGAAGAAGACCAAAGAAGATGGGGAAGAATTATCAAGGAGGACACAGTTGATCATTATATCCGGTGATGGATGGTAACTCCGAAGGGAGCTATCCTAAGAAAGAACTTCCCAACGTTCAAGTCACGATTAGATGCAAGATGGATCCTCCCGGATTACTGAGTGTCTCAACTCCTCACGGGACACGGGGGATTCCGAGCGAAGCTCGTTAAACACGGGAAGAATATTGATCCGCTATGTCCCAATTGCAACGATTCGGAGATCGCCGAACATGTGGTCGTTGAATGTACTGCCTATGAGGCACTAAGAGCTAAGCTCCTGAGAGAGACAGGGATATATACACTGACAGAGAGCATTTCCCCCAGCTAATGAGCAGAGAGAATTACCCACATTATACCGAATTCGTATAGGGGAGGAAAGATGCGGTAGGCCCTACACATTTTAATCTGGGAAGAACAGAAGGAAGTTAAGACAAGCTGCAGCTGCTTCAAGGGCAGCTGCTTCAGGTGGAAAAATGGAGAAAAAGAAAAGTGTGGGCTTGTGCACATAAACAAGTCTACACCTCATAAATAATAATGTTAACAAAATAGACCTATACTGCCAGCAGTGGCATAAGCATACTGCTGCTACAAGCCTATTGCCTATAAGGCAGAGTGATAACCAAGAATTATAGTGATTCGAAAATGGTTGTTCCGATTTGATCTGAAGTTGAGAATTAGTAAAAAAAAAAGAGAGAGAGAGAAACAAAGAAACCAGTATTTATTTTGTCAAATCCCTTTACTTTATAATCAGCACGAGAATTTTTCGTATGAAAATTTGGCACTGATAGAGCTAATTACCATGAAATGTCTAGCCAGGCAAATATTTTTGGTTATTTGCCTTCTCCGATAGAAAATGTTGACTAACTTATTTAATAAGCCGGAAATTTGTAAGATAGTTTATTCAAGTCATGATAGAACTCTGAAGAATACACAGTATGTTGTATATCTTTATCTTAGTTATTTACAACTTACAGGTAGATAAACTTGAACATTTTGTTTGAAATTTGGGCATGTATGATAGGATCGAGAAATGGCCTATAAATTTTGGAACTATCTTTATTGACATCCAAACAATTATGAAAGAATAACTTGGTGGCTTAACTAAATTTGAAATATAATTTGTACCCACACAGTAATAAAACATTATAAATAGTTTATGTTTGGACTTAAGTTACACTGAAATTACATCAAATAAACTCTTTGTATGGTTTAATTATAGACTATAATATAGTCGTATTTACTATTATCTGTAATATAGATGACCATGTTTAATAACATAAACCAAACTAATCAACCAAAGGAATAACACAAAAAACTAATGATATAATCAACTGGAAAAGCCGGTCTATGTCGGCGATCTTTTCCATCTAAGTTAGTCAATCTCAGCTGATAGCTACGGTGCTTCCTCCTAGAGGAAAACACATTTTACCTCCTTAATTTACTATTGATAACAAAGGTTTCAACTGAAAAGGTTATTTTTCCGTAATTGTGCTTAATGATATTAGTAATCAAAGCGAAGTTTATCTATTAAGAATGCGTAGAATTGGAAAAATAACTTCAGGGTACATCCCACGTGGATCATATGCCAGTCCCAAAGTGGTTCCTTTCCAAGAAGTTTTACCCATAAAATTAAGAAATATGGTTTCTGGTAAGGGAAATAAATCCAACACAGCTGCATGTGTTCAAGAGATGTCAGTTCTGTTTGCATGCCTTAAGAAACATGACTTTAAAGAAAGTGCCTGTGCTAAGGAAATATCAACATTTCAGAATTGTTATACAAACCACAAAGAGCAGTTAGCTCTTAGACAACAGCAGGAAAAAAGGGGATTATTAGTACCTGGAGAGAAGCAGCTCTCTCACAAACAGGCCAATAAACTTTTGAAAAAATTTCCCAGTTGAAACTAAAGCTGTCTTTATTTAGTGTTACAGTTTTTGTTAATGGCTCTTCATAGATATGATACATGTATATAATTTACATTAAAATAAAATACATAAAAAAAGTTTTGTTTGCATAATTTTTGTTAAAATCTATTATATATGACTATTAAATTTTATACCTCTTATTCACTTCAGGAGTGCTTGAAATGCAACAAGATATAAATTACACATTTCAGTATTGAAATTAAGTCTGATTCATTTTATTTCTTATGTTTAGTAAATGATTAATGTAATTTACTAATTTTAAACTTTTAAAAAAAATTATTTGTTTGTAATTAAATATAATTAGAACTTTAATTTTTTAAATATTTAATTAAAAAATACACTTTCTAACAATGTTCCAGCATGGGATGAAGGTCCTAGAATGCCTGATTCGCAATGTTGTGGGTTCACTAACTATTAGGGTCGGTTAATACTTATTTTTCAGAGGCCACGACAATTAAAGTGACTCCCATTCTGGTTAGTATGCTATGGGAATCTATGTATTTATTTGATGCTGACAAAAAGGCCCATTTACTGGACTAGACTAGTTCCCTCATCAGTTCCAGTCCTTTCAATGTTATCAAGTTAGAAGTGAAAAAAATTATTTGGAGCTTTGAATAAATTAGGAAATATATTGCTGGTATCATACTTATTTCAGTTATTTATCTATAGTTTAGCTCATAACTCAAATTGATGTTACTTCAATGTAATAAATATAGTTTTATATAAAAATAAAACTAACGATTAATTTTAGTTGACTCTTATTCTATTATTTTTTTTTAATACTGTTTAGTATTATTAGTAAATCCAAAATATTTGAATCAGTGAGTAAAACCATAGTTTTTTTCCTTGGTTTTTTTTTTTTTTCACTTTATATATTTTTTCACTTGACCTTCCTTTGTCCTGGAAATCTGACTGATCTAGTTTAAAATTCATGTTATTTAGGTTTCACCACCTTATTTGCAAAAAAAGTAAGAAATACAAATAAATTTATAAAAAAGTAACCTTAATGAGGTCTATTTTTACTTTCGCTTACCTATATATGTAATATATAGTAAGAGAAAACATAGCAATCATGAAAATATTTGAATCTGAGTTTGCAATGTAAATACAAGTTTTGAGATGAGTTCAAATAACCAAGTCCCACAAAATAGTCTCTGTGCGTGTATATGTTATAAGTCTAGCTCAAAACGAAGTTGTTTGAAACTGAAAAAACATATTTAAGTCAGGCATATGCCAGGGATGTTGTTGCAGCAACTTTTTCATTAAAATCGGCTGACCGGATGTGTCCATTGATATCGATTTTATATATTTTTACAATTTTCTCAAAAACGGCTCCTACGATTTTGATTAAACTCAGTATGTCAATGTATAATTAAGTATCTTTAATATCATTTAGTTCTTACCCTATTGACGTCGCTTAACAGGGCTTACATGCCCATTGTTCAAAATGTCTTCCTCTAAAGGTACCTTCAATTTGTTTTATTTGAAATAATTAACCATCTGTTCATGTTAGGAGATATGAAAAAAATGCAAAATATGACTTTAGAAAGAATTTGATTGTTGAATAAAGGAGAAAAAAATTAAAATGCCAATCCAGGTAGAAAATTAATCTCTGGAAATAATAGTCAGAAAGTATACGTATAATATATCATTTGCAAAGAAGAGAATTTTAGATAAAATTATATAATTAATACATTTGTAGAAGGTAATGAACGGAGAGTGAGGAAAAATATATAAATAATTTCTGAAAACTGATATGTAATGTAAATCACATATTTCTGAGGAAGTCAAATGAAATTTTCTTACTAAATGTTAATTTTTTATTTTAGTTTGAAAAAAGTATTCAAAATCCAACAAATCAAGGCAATGACATTGTTTAAAATACTATTTCATTGTACTTGTGTGAAATATAAAAATATTTCAAGGATATGTTAATAATCATGTAACGTTAAAAAAAATTAAATTAGTGAATAATTAGAAAAATTTTCCTTTTTGTGAAATCACATTATCCACTTACAATTAGTGTGACAACTTTTCAACTAACGATAGTAGGCAATGAAAATCGGAATTCCATTTTTAGTAAACTTTATAGTAGAAAAATAAGGATTATATATCTAATAGTAGTACAATCCATAATCATTTACTGGTTAAATACACATATGTAGTTTCAAATCTCACTAGGCATATATAGCTCAGCAACTGGAGTTGTGTGGTTTACCAAAACAAATAGAGCTGAGATTTTTATTGCCTACCGTTGATATAATAAATATGGTTTGTGTTATTTTAATGGTATTAATGAGTTCTTAGCTATAAAGCTTGAGCTTTAGTTCTATTAAAAGTGCCTTTCAAAAACTTCATAATAAGCCCAACATTGCCAAAAAATAATTTCTATTCAAAATACAGCTTCTAAGTGAAAGTTGTTTATCAGATTACATTCCTTTATCAAAGTAAATATTGTTACAAAAAAAACAATGAAAGAAGAGTGCTAAGATATTTCTACTTTCCAGAAGAAAATAGTGATAAACAAAAATTAAATTAAGGTAATAGAAAAATATAACTATTACAACTTCAGTAATGACCATCTATGATCTCAAAAGAGAATAGCATGCAATCATAAAATAGTTCCAAAAATTCAGTAATGCAAATAGTCAGGATTAGAGATAGGAAAGTAAATGTGAAGGACAATGAATTGCCAACTAGAAATGTCAAATCACTCATAACCAACTGAGGGTTAAGGTTTTGTATTAATTTTTTTTTATATAAGATTCTGTATTAATTTTTTCATAATTTGTAAGAACATATTGAACAGGAATAAAACAAAACATTCACTAATCATAAACATACATAAATTATATTTGTCATATAAAAATTAGATAACATTAAATATAAATAACTTTCAAAGATCATTACATCTTTTAAAACAGCCATCAAAATATAACACTGCATCTTTAATCGTTATCTCCAAATTTTAATTTTTTTATCTTCTCCGCCAGTTACAATGACACTTCCGTCATCAGCAGCAGTAATTGATAGAACAGCACCTAATAACATTTACAAATCCCATGTAACAACAAAATTAAAGAAAGTAATTCTAAATTTTTTTATTTCTATAAGAAAATATTAGCTAAACTATTAATAGAGAAGAGAAAACAATTTATTCTGAAACCAAAATAACTAGAGGGAGAGGTACTTATTGAAAGTAATGCCTTACTTCATAGGGTTGTTTTGTACACAGCATACTAATCAATCCATATGGACATAACTCTTACATTACATAATTTTTTATACATATACATATTTTCCTTTTACTCCCTTATCATAGCACTAGTCATATAAAACACTATCAATACACTACACTAGAATATTATTACTAGATAACGCACATATCTTCCAAAAAAAAGACACTTTCTGAAAGCTTGAAATATAAGAACAAATCAGACATACATACCATTGGAATTTCATGACTTTAAACAAAAAGATAGGACTATTCTAAAATTAAAATTTAATAAATAAATGATAATAAACATCCTCAATTGAGGATTAATAATAACTAGTAAATAATTAATTCGTTATTGGTGTACAATAGGCCTACATGGCAACAGTGCACTCATGCCGCAAAAAAAAAAAAAAATAAATAATATTCATGCACCCAAAAAAAGATCACAAATGGGCAACAAAACAATATGAAGTACATTAAAAAATAGCTAACTAGTAAAAAATTACTACAAACCAATACATACCTCAAAAGGGAAAAAAATTAAGGATTACACAACAAAATTAAAAGGAATTATAAAATATGAACAAAGTAAAAGTAAATTCTTAAAACAATAACCTCTTTTTACAATTCACACTATTTTTAATCCCTATTTTTTGTACAGTAAATCTATAAAAAGAAACTGACAGTGATTTCGAGAAATGATGAATAGAATATACATTCTATCAAATTTCATTAATTCAACAAACTCAGTAATTTTCATTTTATCATCTGAAAGAATCATAGGTTTTTTTTTTTTTTTTTTTTTTTTTTGGGTATGGAGAAAACATAATGAATAAGGCAAGAAGTGAAAAAGCATTAATTACTAAGCTGGATCATGAAAGTAAAAAGGTGGACTCTAGATGAACAAGTCAAAATACTAAGTAATGTCAACACTTCCAGAACAAGAAGGCTATGCTATATAAAATGCCACAATTATACCTTTAATGCTATTAATTGCACAAACCTGAGCACTGAAATTAATAGAAATAAGGTCAGTGACGTGATAAGGGGCGGGATAGTACAGAAGCCAATGCGAGTAAACAGCACAGCGCATTGCCCGGCAACCTGATAAAAGAAATTATGAGATAATATAATTACAAGTCTGTGCACCGGTGGCGGAGGAGCTTTTAACTCTGGCATTGATACCCAGCTTCTGGCCCGCAAAAAAAACCGGTATGGTCTAAAAGGCGAGGAAGGGATGGACAGACAAAAAAAAAAGACTAACGTGATCAAGAAAAGAATTATTAATGTGAATAAAGATTATTATGGCTTTCTGAACTTGAAATCAACTCTGCTCTCTAAACACACAGAATCATGTATTGAATGGATTATTAAAATTTATAGAATCAATAATTCCTATTGATCAATTATTGCAATTCATATGTTTAAAATTTCCTATTAAGTTTCATTTGCTATTACAATTAGTAAGTTGTAAGGCCAAACACACAAATACATTGAAGAAGATAGTAAGGCGGAAGGTTTTTATGATGGCATTTGTAAGTAAGGTTTTAAAGAAATGAAAAATTAAATCAATGTTTCAATGATGCTTAAAATATAACCTAATTAGAAGGTCTATAAACTTACATTTTCTTTAACAATAAAGTTCTGAATTACTAGAGATTGATTGCCAAAACAGAATATATAAATCATTATTATTATTTTATCATTATAATCATTATATTATTATTATTATTATTATTATTATTATTATTATCATCATTATATTAGTTTAATTTCCTGAAGTTGATTATAACAGTTTCTTTCTATGAGATAACAGGAAACAATGGATGCTAGCAGTAAGTTAAAAAAAACAAGCAATAAAAATAACTTTATAGTTATATAAGTTCTTCAAACATCTATATTTTACCTTGATGAGCTTCAAACTGCTTTACAAGAATAACATTAATTAAATCCCAAAGGTATAGACTACCTTGTGCTCCGCCAACTAGAAGTGTTGTTCCATCCCAGGTCAAGCATCTATAACAAAGTGAGTGCTACTTGAAATATAATAATAATAATAGTCTTTATTTAGATACGTATATTCATTTATAAAAGCAGTATTCACGCTTAGATTTGCATCTACTTTTTCTTTATATACTCGATATAGAGCTTCCCTTTAAGCTCCTTTTGGTTCACTGGGAGTTCACTTATCTTCATCTTCCAGTATTTTCTGTCTTTTGCTTTTCATGACCACAGCAATCCTTCTACCTTCTTTATCTCGTCTGCCTCAGTTCGTTTTCATATCCAAGAGGATCCACTCTGTCAGTTTCTTGACCCAGTTTTTGTCATTCTTCCTCATTAGATGTCCAGCCCATTGCCATTTAATCTTCTTGATATGTCTGATTACATCTGTGACCCCGGTATCTTACCTTATTGATAGGCTACTGAGCTTTTGGCTTCTTCTTCTGCCTCGTATACTCCCCTCCATTATTTTTTGGCATGTTTTGAGTTTTTTCTCATGGAGCTTGTTGAGGGACCATGTTAGGCATCCATAAGGCATCACAGGTAGTATACAGCTATTGAAAGATAATGTTTTTAGAGGCTGGCTGATATTGTTGTTCTTCATTATCATTCTTAAGCTCTAATATACTTCCAAGCCATAGCTGTCCTTGTTTGAATCTCTGTTGATTGCCTACCTTTAAAAGAAATCCTTTGCCCTAGATATTTGAGTTTATTTACTATGCTTATTTCTAGAAGGTCTGTTTTTACTTTAGTGACACGTGAGTTTGTGATTATTTTTGTCTACAATGAGGTTCAACGATAATCCGTGTTGGATACTTCTGTACATAAGCTGTTTTAGCATGGTCACTATTTCTTCTTCTTTTCTTGAAATCAATAGCACATCATCTGCATACTTAAAATATATATATTACTTATGCAATAAGGAAATATAAAATTTCTATTAGATAATAACTATGTCTAAGAATTAGAGATTTTAATAATATAATATAGTAAAATTAAATATTACAATTCTCTAAGATCAGCTTTAGCAATTTTCTTCTGTCTGGTAAAAACAATGCTAAGTGTAACCATACCATGTGCAATGATTTGAAAGATCCAACCAAATTTTAATATTAAAGGCTACACACCTTAATTGTGTTTTTTTCATTATCTGCTTCTCTTTACAACTTAGTGGCATGAGGTTCCTGCTTATAACTGCCTCCATGCACCCCTGCTCTCCAGCAATATTTTCTCTTCCTAGCTTTAGGTTCTAGGAGAAAGCCCCAGCTTTAGGAAGCCCCACCTTGATACTCTGCTCCCATATAATTCTGGCCCTACCTCTAGGCTTCTACTCCATATTCTAGGCATCTCTGACAAGATGATGATTCGGTATTCTAAGATGTCAAAAACAACTTAATTGGGATTCCTTTATTACTATTTAAATGAGATTCACACCGAGGGTGGACTTTGTTGTAGTATTTCAAATTCTGTCTCATCTAGTTCTGCCTTCCACCTGATTCAGGTACCACATTGCCATTGACAGATTGTCCTTTATGTTTTGTTGTTTTTGTCCAGGACTCAGTAGAATATGTAAATGGTGGTACTAAGGTTAACTTGTACACATCGAGTTTGATATCCTTAATCTTCCAGGGGTACCTTCATTCCTAACACCAGCAGGCGTGTAACATATGGATTGTGCTATGCCTTTTTAGTAGATATTAATGATTTTTATTTTTGTTTAAATTCTTAATTCAGTATTTTATACATTAATATGTAAGTATAGAACTTCTAATTGTGTTTATTTTTATTAAATTTTATAATTTAACCTGTTCCTAGAAACTAAATGAGTATTTCTCTCACTATTATTAAAATCGATGGCTGCTGGTGGGGTATAGGGCATGTGCTTTCCATTTCACTCTTTTTACAAAAATTATTTTTGCTTCCTGTCAAGCCCAGCTCAAGTAATTTTGCTCAGATCCCCATCATGTTTCTCTTGGTCTTTCTCTTTTTCTTGTTCCTGGAGGATTCCATAGAAAAGGAGCATATTTTTCGATCACACAATCAGCCTTCCTTACAGTGTGTCCAATCCATTTCTATTTCTTTTTCCTTATTTCGAGTTGGATAGAAAGCAGTTCATCAGTAGTACTCCAGAGCTATTCGTTAGAGATCCTCTCAGGCCACCAAATCTCCAGGATTTCTCACAAGCAGCGACTGATGAAATTCAGAAGGGATTGGGTGACGATTCCAGTCACCTACCGTTTGTTTAATTGTTTGTTCAATTCTATTCAATATGGAAGTACAAGAAACTGTCCAATAAAACAAAAATAAAGTTGTTTAACACCAATATAAAATCAGTACTGCTTTACAGAAATGAAACATGGAAAAAAAAATTTTGTAAATGAAAAAGATTCAAGTACACAGATCAGAACAGGAGACTAGCTTCATCAAAAAGCTCTGGATAAAATTTATGGGGAATTTTATCCAGTTTAATTAAAAGAATAATTAGCATATATGTGTAACATGTAGACATTACATTTAAAGTTATAAGTTTTTGTATATATATTATGTATGTATATATGTTTTTTAATCATATAAATCATGATTACTTACTTGAGTTTTTCGACATGACATTTACTAAAAACAGTTGTGCCTGTGCAAAGATCAAATACTTTGAGGCTCTGATCTTCACTGCAGGAAACAAGTTTGGTACTATCTGGACTAAATTGCAAACAACTGACGCTCTCTTTATGACCTTAAAAAAAATAATGCTTTTTATCACAAAATAAACTTCAAATTTTATTTTTACTCAAAGATTTGTTATCACCTACCAGGCAAGTTTTTGACAATGGAGAATGAATTAAGAGACCAAAGAAATACCTCTCCTTCTGAAGTTCCAGTTGCTAATAATGTATCTGACCTAATAACAGATGAGTGAAATAACTAAATGCCTAAATACATTTCATTGTTATTAATTAAAATTATTAAAATGGCAAAACAAAATATCATATCAGATATAATAAAATATGGATGTATGCTTAATTGATTTCTATTTCCTTTTCTTGGATTATAGGGAACAGGGTAGCTCAGTGGGCGAGCACTGACTTCCAGAGCTCAAGGTCACAGGTTTGAATCCGGGTGATAACTAGTAATTTTTCATCAGCTGTGTGGTCAACCCTGAAACCGGGAGATCCTCCTCGGGCAAACCCAGCCTCTATAAAGTGGGTACTCCTAATTAAATAATTAATTAAGGAAGAAAACTGGTAAATTGGAATAGTTTTAGGCCACTTAGTAGATAAGTAATTTGATAAAGAAAATAACTAAAATGAATATAATTTATTCTGCAGAGTTGGATATAAAATCTTAATGACCATTCCGCTACACTAATACCACCATCTAATTATTGTAGTGATTATTTAGCATAAAACACCTGCTTAAACAGTTATATAAATCATCTCAGTCTGAATTATTTACAGCAAATCTATGATTCCAATAAAAATTCTTGGTTATAATGATCATATTTTGAAACATTCTTCTAGTATTTGACAGGTTTATTATTTCAAACAAATATATTATTATATCGAGGCATTAGAAACCCCTTTCTACTACCACCCGCCCATGTCGATTTTTAGTGAGAAAAAGATTATATAATTAAAATATTTAATACACATAACTGGAAATTATTTTATTTTTTAGTACAATAATACTTTTTTTTTTTTTTAATCTATTTATTGAATAATAATACATGCAGCCACTGCTGGAGGGCTATAAGCATTAGGGCTGAAAGTTCTCATTCATACAATATATACAAATAATAAAGAAATAAATATAAATATAAGAAGTAAATAAATAATACTGATGAAGAAGATAAATAAAAAGAAAAGAAAAAAAATAATAATAATAATAAACAAATAAAATAAAATAAAAACTTCTAAACACAATCATAACTATATACAATATATACATTCGCCCAAGAATCTCCGAACCAGGCTTTTTCCCCCACACGTGGAAGGCAAAGCAAGACTCCGGAAGATCCCAGCGCCACTTTTCCAGCCGCATCACTAGTATTAGAAGCCAGTGGAGACTGAAAGAGGGCACTAGAGCCACAGACGCTCAGGACATGAGTGGAGAAGCTGGCCATTGCCAGGACTCCAAAGGCATATTTACAAAAGATCTCGAGGCCACTGCCGTTTCAACCTTCGAGGGGGATGGTATGGATGCTCGGAGCTGGATAGGGATTGGGCTAGAGGATTGGGATGATGTATGAGGTTCTGGTGAAAGTTGGAGAATCTGGATGGGATGATGTCATGGACATATGGGATGTTAAGGTCATGGTGTAGGGTCTTGTTCGTGACATAATATGGAGCATTGACTATTGTTCGAAGGACTTTAGACTGGAAGGATTGGATGCGTTTGATATTCGATGATTTAGTTGTCCCCCACAGCTCAAGTCCGTAGGTCCAGATAGGTTTCAGTATGGTCTTGTAGATTAATAATTTGTTTTCTGTTGAGAGATGAGATGTTCTGTTTAGTAGTCTATATAGCTGACCAAATCGTCGGTTAAGCTCTTGTCTTTTAAGTCTCGTATGTGGGTTCCAAGTCAGTCTTTTGTCCAGAAGGAAGCCAAGGTATCGGACTGTGTCTGAGTAGGGAAGAGGAATTGAATTAAAAAGGATTGGCGGACAGGATCTGCGTCGAAGAGTAAAAGTTACATGTTTACATTTTGATTCATTAATTTTGATGCGCCAGTTGTTGCACCACTGCTCAATGAAGGAGAGGTGTCTTTGCAGGTTCCGGGACGCAATTAGAGGATCCGAGTGGGAGGATAGGATGGCAGTATCATCAGCAAATGTTGCTAGGAAGGTATCAGGACTTGAAGGGATGTCAGCGGTAAAAAGGATGTAGAGAACTGGGCCCAAGACACTGCCTGGTGGGACTCCAGCCTCAATTGGAGAATGTTTGGAGAGTTCAGTGCCGCAGCGGACTTGAAAGGAGCGATTTGAAAGGTAGGATTTGAGGACTAGATACAAGGCTTGAGGTAAATGGGTTTTGAGCTTGAAAAGCAAGCCATCGTGCCACACCCGGTCGAAAGCTTGAGCTACGTCCAGAAAGGCACCAGTGCAATATTGCTTGTTTTCAAGTGCAGAGGATATGTGGTCCACAACGCGAAGGCCTTGTTGGACAGTGGAGTGTCTTGAGCGGAATCCAAACTGATGAGAAGGGATATTGTGGGATTCGAGTATGGGTAGGATGCGTTTGAGAAGGATTTTCTCAAAGATTTTGGAAAGGATCGGAAGTAAGCTTATCGGTCTATAGGATGATGTACAATTAACAGGTTTACCTGGTTTAGGAAAGAGGATAATTATGGAGTGTTTCCACACCAGAGGAAAGTGGGTTGTGCGGAGGATACAGTTGAATAGGTATGTAAGGAATATAATTGCTTTTTTGGGAAGTTGTCTGAGGATCTGGGAAGTAAGGAGATCGTGTCCTGGAGATTTGCGAGGTTTTAGGTTCTTTAAAAGGAATTTGACCTCAGAGGGGTTGACGGCTGTAGGAGGTAAGGAGAGAGGAATCGGTGAAGAGAGGAATTCTTTAACTTCAGCAGTATGGGAGGGATGGAGTTCAGGATGAGGAGTGAATGTGTACGATAGATGTTTAGCAAACTCTTCTGCTCTATTCTCATCTGACGGAGCCCAGGAACCATCATCACGGCGGAGGGGGTGGGAAATGGATTGGAATTTAAGGATTTGTTTAGTTACATTCCAGAGGGAGTTATCACTTGCAGATAGTGAGGAAAGATAGGAATTATAGAATTGTGATCTAAACGTAGCCAGTTTTTGTTTTACCTGCTTGGAATAATAGTTATATGATTTCCGATCATCAGGATGCCTGGTTCTTTGCCAGATGGTCCTAGAGCATCGTTTTCTATTAATAAGGTCCAGTAGGTCTTGGGGTAGAGGATTTATTTTGCGGTATTTTTTAGAAGGATAAGGTGAAGATGCAGTCCAAACTGCTTGTTGGATCAAGGTAGTCATGGAATATACTGCTTCATCTAGGTCTGCGGGTGTTTTTAAGGAAACTCTGAGGTCAATATTATCATCCAGTATTTGACGGAAGAGGTTCCAATTAACTGGCCCCCTGATAAATGAAGGTGGAGGTGGTTTGGGAATTGGTGATGTGGAGACCGTTAGGATTAGGGGACTATGGTCTGAGGAAAGATCATCAAGTCTTGAGATGCAATAATGAAGGGACCCTAGACCTTTGTGGATGAAAAAATCTAGGAGATCGGGATTGCGGTTAGGATCTGTTGGCCAGTATGTGGGAGAATTGGGTGAGAGGATGTTGCTGTGATGGGAATTAAGTGCAGATAGCAATGTTCGTCCTCGGGAATTTGTGGTTCTGGCTCCCCATTGCTGGTGTTTAGCATTTAAGTCTGCACCTAGAAGGAAGTGGTGTCCTAAGGAGTTAAGGAAGGAAGTTAATTGGGATTCTGAGATGGGTATTTTAGGCGGGGAGTATGCTGCGACTACTGCTATTGGGTAAAGGGAAGTTTGGATTATCACGGCAGTGGATTGTAGGAAATTATGGGTTAGCAAAGGGAATAGATGATGGGAAAGGGATTGATGGATAATTATGGCAGTGCCAGCATGTGCTGTTCCATCAGGATGGTCGGTTCGATAGATATGATAGTTGGGGATGTTAAGTGGTCGTTTGTTGGTAAGTCGAGTTTCAGTTATTAATGCTATATCAATGTTTTTGTCCTGTAATAAGATTGTTAGTTCGTTGACGTGATTTCGAATACCATTCGCATTCCAAAGGAGAACGGAGAGGGATTTGATTGGGGACATTTAAGGATTTCTCGACAGTGGGATGAGGTTGGATACAACATTGGTAAGCAAGGAAATGAGAGGAGTGATGAGTGACCTGAATTCAGAGAGGAAAGAAGTCAATAGGCTTGTGAGGTCAGTGGCATTGGGAGGAGGAGGAATGAATGTCTGGTTATTAGGCTTAGGTTCAGAGATGGGATAAGGGTCTTGTGGTTGAGATGTGAATACTCGAGGTTGAGATTCTTGTGGCAGGGCCTGAGTTTGTGTGGGTGCAGTGTCTCCTTTGAACATCTGAGCATAGGACACTCTTGTATTTACAGTTCTAGAGGGTTGTCTTGGTGGTCTGGATGGCCGTTCTTCTCTTGGAGCTGCATAAATTCTTGCTTTCAGTTCCTTATATGTTTGGCAACCCTTGTAGTTCGCTGGGTGCCCTTGGTGGCATAAAGCACATACTGCTGGTGTTCTTCTGGACTTCTGGCAGTCCTCAGTTTTATGTTGATCACCGCACCTGACACATCTAGGAATGTGGTGGCAATAGCGTTTCGTATGACCATAAGCCTGGCAGTTATGGCATTGTACAATGTCGCGCTTAGTGTAGGGCTTTTCTACAACAACGCTAGTGTAATAAAGGCGTGTGACCTTGTAGATTTCTTCGACCTGGGGCGTTCGGTCAAGGTCAACGAAGAATAGTGGGAGCGGTATTTTATTTTTTGTACCAGGCTGTTCTCTATCTTCCTTGAATATATTCACTATTTGTCGAACACGGAACCCCATCTCAGTTAGTTCTTCTTTAATGGCATCCAGCGGTGTTGATGGGTGTAATCTCCTGATCACCACCCTGAGCGCTCTCTCTTGGCGCAGTTGATATGTGTGATAATCCGCCTTAGTGTCAGATAAATACTTGACAATTTTTCTGTACGTATCTGGGGTGTCAGGCATTAATTTCGTGTCATTAGTGCGGCTTTGGCATACGTATTTACCTGAGCCCACTATATTATTTAATTGTTGACACATTAATTGGAAATTTTTTATATTTCTAACGAATATTGGTGGAGGTTTAGGTTCACTAGGGATGGGTACTGCTTCCATTTGTTCATTCTGTGTGTTTGACAGCACTTGGAATGGATTAGCTGTAAAAAAAGGCGATTCTTCTAGCGTACCTTGTATTGGTATAACTTGTGTTGACATATTTTGTGATGATGTGCCAGGTTGATTTTCAACTTCGTCAACTGAGCTCTCTGGTGTAGCTGGCGGGGTATTTTTTTTAGAGCGTCTAGCCCTTTTCTTGATGGGTGAACTCTTTGTGGTATCGAGACTCCTAGATCTTAAAGTTCGATTGTTACCTTTGCTCGACATTACCATATGAAAATAGCGCATCTCATATTAATTTAATTAGAGGTAACTGTAATAATTTGAAAAAAAAAAAATGTCCTTTATCAATTACGTATATATTACGCGAGTTTGTAGAAGTCTAAGTAACGTAGATCTGCTTCCGCCAAAGGGCAGCAGCCCACTGGTCGGATTAACGAATGTATATGGCCGGCTTGTTATCTATCACTATCCTCAGGTCTATTTACACTGTTCACAATGCCGTTATAAATAAGTGATTACTCACCTTGTTTATGTCCAGTTTCAACTTAATTTTTAACTTAACAGTTTACACTACTTTTTCACATATAACATGAATTATTTCACTGTTAATAAAGTCACTTAATAAGAGACGAAATAAAGAGTATATGTGTAAGGTTAACGCATGCGCAAACTCACAATAATACTAATCATTAATTATTATCAACTGATTAAAAAATCCAATAAGCAAGAAAAACTAAGGAGATAAAAATTTAATACAATAAATTAGTGCAAATAACCAAGAACTTATATATTCCCAGTTACCTGTTAACAGCCAATGCAGTAATTTTATCATCATGGTCAAGTTGTGCTATTAAGGAAGAAGCTGGTTTAAGAGGAACATAAGGAAGCTTCACTTTCCATGCTCTTACACAGCAGTCCCAAGAACCAGACAGTAGAAGCCTCAAGCTAGGGGCCCAGCATAGGCAAGAGACAGCATCCTCATGGCCTCTCACTTGATCGACTACTCTACCACATTCAATATCGTAGACTATTCTGAAAAAGTGAGACACAATTTAAGCAAGCCTTAAAGATTATCTATTATTTCCTAAATCTTATAGATTATTAGTAAACTAGTTTATCATTGGTCGGCCAAATTTTGTTAGTTACGGTCTTAAAACTTTCCAACGCAAATACTATTTTGCTGGCCCAAATGTTATGTATTTCAATAAACTTAGACTACCCATAAATTACACTTTGAAAAATCAATTTCATTACCACAGAAAGTATGAAAACTAGTAATAAAAAGAAATTAGTATTAAAACTAAATTTACTATTTTTTCTACAAAAGTAAGCCAAAAATTTCAATAAACAAGGTGTATTACAGAAAGGATTAGGAAAACTTGCACATACAGGGTGAACTAGTAAACACTATACATGTATTTGTATTTATGTGTACTTTTTTCCATGAATAAAACATGTTTGGGCTATAAAAAGTTTGAACACTTTTAATAAGGAAATTCAAAGAAAACTTCAGACACTAGTATATAAGTTTAGTGTTAATGTATCTCAAATGTATCATGTCACAGTATGAGAATTATTTTTCACTAAAACTTTCATTTACTCATTATCACACAATTATGAGAACACAGGAAAGTTTCTGAATTCAAAATTAATTCTATCAATCAATTTGATTTAGCAGTGAAGGATAGCGATTTACAATGAGATGACAGTAGAATTGATTTGATGATTGATTCAAGTGGAATCTAGACGTTCTTGAAAGGTAACCAAACAAAAAACCATAAGTTTTGTTTTTGAAATGTCTAAACAATTTTTTTTTATAATGAGCTTTAGCCTGTAAAAGTGTTAGTGTAACTTATAGATTAACAGTTAAAGTATTTTAAAATTCATATTTTCATTGTTAAGTCAAATTCATAAATCATCATTTTGATCATTTTTTTTTTAAATTTATTCCAAACTGAACTCTTTAAATAAAATTTATTTGTTTAGTATTTTGAGCCATTTAGAACTTTCATAGTTTCCATCAAATATAGTTATTTTCCTGAAAATGACTTTCTAAATTGTTTCAATATTGGACAAACAGATATAAAACAGAAAAAGTACAAAATATAAATGAAATGAATTCACAAGAAGAAAAAAGATAAATACTTACTTACTATATTAATGATTTTAAAAACAGAAATAACAACACCTAGGTTATCTTAAGGTTACATCTATTAGATCCATCGACCCAAATAGCCGATGGAACCAATGACTTATTGGTGATTTAACTGATGAATAAAGAGATGGGAACATCTCCATCAATAAGTAAAGAGGAAAAATACCTAAGATATAGGTATGATGCTACCAACAAGCTCATCACTGAGTTTAAAAACTTACTCCATTCTCTCATCATTCAAGGTGAAATTACTGACTTGAGCCAAACATAAAACATAGTCCTGTTGTAAAAAAAATTTCAAAGTAAAGAAATAATAATTATCTAAGATTCTGTAATTAAATTTTACCAGATACCTGAGATCATTAACAAATAGAACAAGTCATTAGTTTATTCCAAAAAGTCATTAAGTAACATTTCATAACCTTAAATAACTGAGGACTTTGATGAATTTTCTTTTTGTGAAATCAGGAAATTGAGCACTTGGCACTTGTAGCTATATTTCTTATATAAAAGGGTTTGTGTCATTTTAATGCCCTTACTATATTTTTTTTAATCAATAAATAAGGTCGAAATTCATATTAACGTTCTCCACTCATTAGCTCAATCAAAAATGTACTTCATGACGTTTTGCAATAAATCGATCATATTAGATTAATGCAAAAAAATTAAAATCAATTAAAGTTTTTAAGTTCTTATATCTTGAAACTAACTCATGCAAGTCAACTTTTGGGGTTGAAATTGGCAAAGTAGGGGTAGGATTTAATCATGTAATCTAGCAGCTCAGTTAAACCAGCCATCTCAATTAAAATAACTGTTAATAGTAATACTTACGTTAATACTAAAGAAAAGTATTAATTAACATTGCAAATATAACTAATTTAATATGATATATAATAAATAAGAACAAATAAATAATTACAGAGTAGCATCAAAACTAGCAGCAATTGCAGTAGATGATTCTGGAAGAAAACATACAGATGACAAAGGAAGATTTCCAAGAGACACACTCCTTTCACGAGTTCCAGCAAGGCAGTTATGAATCTTAAGAATTCCATCTCTACCAACTGAAGCAACAAGTCTTGCATCATTAGATAAGCATACACTTGTTATTCCTTCTTTATGACAGGGTAACTCCTCACGAACCTCGATACTATCAATATTTTTCCACTTAACTGAAAACAGGTTCAACAGTTATATATACATACATATATATTTTAGTTTTGTGAAAAAAATTGTCTGATATGAAATTCTGTCTCTTCTAAAGGTGTGTTTTCCTAACAACTATTTTCAATATTTGAATAGATCGCACACTGCCGAATTTTCCATTTGCAATTGCGAAATGAAAATAGAGTTTGTCATTGTTAAAACTATTTAAAAATTACCTTTGAGTGGCTAAACTAAGGTAAGTTCAGTTTTAAATAAAATAAATTATTTGTTTTGTTTTTTTATTATTATCGAACTATACTACAGATAGCCCACTTTTAGGAAAAATTCCTCGTTTAATAAGCTTCAAGTTATCATTTATTAGAATGAGATTAATACACCAAAAATTGAGATTCACTACAAGTTTTGTAAAATAATGATATGATTTTTTTTCCTACCACCTAAAAGTATCAGCATTTTCCACAAAAATTACCACAATTAGCCTTTGCAAAGCTTTTTCTTCTGTAATATAATGAAAATAATTTCCTAAATACACTTTTTACTTATATAAAAATAATAATGATTTTTCAAATATTTTTCATGTAAAGTGGTTATAAAATTATTTTTATTTTTCTCTCAGATCTGTCATAAGAATTGATCTATATTGATAAGTGAAAAATTTAAGGTCCCTGATCCTAATATTTACGTTTTCATGAAAATAATTGAAGCAATCAGTCATTTTTATTTTTATTTTAAAATTAATATTAGGACCTGGGACATCAAATTTGTCACTTATAAATACGGATCACTTTCTATGACAGAGATCTGTGAGAAGCACAGTTTTATAACCACTTTAAATGAAAAATTGTTATTTTTAACATTTTGTTTTTATATTAATAAAAAGTGTATTTAGGTAATTATGTTTATTACAGTATATCTCAGATCAAGGAAAAAACAAGAAATAAAAGCTTTGCAATAGTTATTTTTTTTTTTTTTATTTCTTTATGACATTTACAACTGTATTACATAAATACATCAAGTAAATTTGGACATAATTGATATAATGACATGAATACACTTGCTGAGTAACTACCCAATGGTAGCACTCTAATGATATGACTATATTAGGAGATCACGAGGCCATCTTCTTTTCAGACGCCTCGGAGGGTTATCAGGAATTGAAGAGGAAGCAAGGTTAGAAAAGAGAGGGTTGGGATGATTCTGAAGTTTATTATGGAAGGATAGGTATCTGGATTGGGCCAGATCTGAAACATAAGGAACATTAAGATCTTTATGGATAATTTTATTAGTGACAAAGTAAGGAGCATTGAGGATTTTACGAAGGATTTTGGATTGTAAGGATTGGATGCGAGAGGAATTCGATGGTTTAGTGGAGCCCCATAGCTCAACTCCGTAAGTCCAAACAGGTCTTATTCTAGTCAAGTATATGAGTCTTTTGTAATTAATGGGAAGTTTAGAGCGTTTGTCTAGTAAGTGCTGAAGTAATCGGAAACATCGAGCGGTTTCTTGTCGTTTCAGTCTAGTATGAGGATTCCAAGTTAGTCGTTTGTCCAGGTGGAGTCCTAGGTATCAGATTTGCTCAACAGGGATAAGTGGAGTATTGTTAAAGGAAACTGTAGGACAGGAAGTCGTTGGTTTACGACGAAGGGTAAAGGTAATTGGTGGGATTTATTGGAGTTTATTTTAATTCTCCAGTTTTGACACCATTCTTCTAGATTTATGATGTGTGATTGAAGCATTTGGGATGCAATTGCTGGGTCATTGTTTACTGATAGGATACATGTGTCATCGGCATATGTGGTGATGACAGTGTTGGGACAGGTAGGGATGTCAGCTGTATGAACTGTATAGAGGATAGGACCTAGGATACTACCTTGAGGAACACCAGCGGACTGGGAAAAAAGGGATGAATAGGCGTTATTGTGATTTACTTTAAAGTATCTATCAGTAAAGTAGGAACGGATAATGAGGAAGTATGTAGGTGGTAGGAATTTTCGGAGTTTGTACAGCAGTCCCGGGTGCCAAACTCTATCAAACGCCTGTTCAACGTCGAGAAAGACTCCCGTACAGTACATTCCGCGCTCCAATGCAGAGGAGACTACGTCTACCACACGATGACATTGCTGTATAGTGGAATGGGAAGTTCGGAAACCAAATTGGTGATCTGGGATTATGTGTTTAGAATTCAGGATAGGCGTTTTAAGATGAGTTTTTCTAGGATTTTGCCCATGATGGGTAAAAGAGAGATAGGACAGTAAGAGGATGGGTATTCTGGTGGTTTTTTGGGTTTGTGGATCATTTTAACAATAGATCGTTTCCAAAGATCAGGAAAATATGTAGAACGGAGTACAGCATTATATATGTAAGTAAGGAATAGGATGGCTTTTCGAGGAAGAAGTTTTAGGATCTGGGATGTAATTAGGTCATGTCCAGGAGCTTTACGGGAAGGTAATTTTTGAATGATGTTGGATATTTCTATGGGATGAAATGCTTTGGGTGGCAGAGACATTTGGAGAGGAATATCCAGTTCTGCTTCAATACAATTGATGTGAGTTGAATTAAGGATATCGGGATGTGGATTAAAAGTTCGGAAGAGATGTTGACCAAATAGTTGGGCTTTTTCTTCGTCGGATTTGGACCAGGTTTGGGAATCAGTAAGTAGTGGGTGATTAAAGTCTTGAAACTTAAGAAGTTTTTTGGTGGTCATCCATAATGATTTGTCAGTGGTTGTAAGTTTTTCAGTAAAATTTAGTAAATTTTGAATTTTGTAATTTCTGATTTCAGTTTGTTAGTCAGTTGTGTGTAATGCGATTTATCTGTTGGGTATCTAGTCCTATGCCACTTCGATCTTGCTCTGCCTTTTTCCTGTAATAAGATACGAATATGCTGTGGCAAGTTAGTATTTTGTGGGAAGTTAATCTTATTGATAAAGGTGTTATTATTTATACTGTCTGTTATTGATGATGTCAGTTTTTCTATGGCACCATTAATGTCTTCTTTTGTCTTTAGCGGGATATTGAGGTCTAGTTTGTTTTCCAAATCATCACGAAATTTGTCCCAGTTTACTCGTCCAGTGATCAGTTTAGGAAGTGATGATTTAGGAGCAAAGTCAGAATGTAGTGAAAGCAGAACTGGACTATGGTCTGAAGAAAGGTCATCCAGGGATTTGATTATAGTTTGGGAGGAGGAAATCTGGGAGGTGATAAATATGTCCAGGATATCGGGACGTTATTTGAGGGATGTTGGAAAATAAGTAGGATTCATGGGCGAGAGGATGGATTAATTGTTGGAAGAAGAAACTTGTGAAAGGGTATTACCACGGATGATCGACAACCCCATCGTTGGTGTTTAGCATTGTAGTCTCCTCCAGCAATAAAGCGCGATCCGAGGGATTGTAAAAAGGATTCAAGTAGGCTGTACGAGAGGGAATTGCCAGGAGGACAGTAAACAGCTGAAAGTGTTAGATGGAAAGGACGTGTTGAGAGGATTACAGAAGTTGACTGAATGGCATCTGTTGGAATGGAAGGAATAAGGGAATGGGGTAAAGATTTGTGGATAAGGATGCAAGAACCGGCGTGGGCAGTGTTGTCTAGGTGGTCAGATCTAGCAATAGTTATTTGAAGTTGTTATTGCTGAAAACAAGTGTACTTATAGGTGACTGGATAAAAATCACATAATTTTTAAACAGGGTGAGGTGATTCTCAAGTTTTGAACAAGTAAACCTCATTTTAATAAATATTAACTTCAGTTTTTGTGAAAGTGGGGTATACGTAGTATAATATTTGGATGATGATAAGACAAAATCTTGAATTTAAAATTTTTTTAAAAACAGAATTTAACTTATTTAATTTCTCAAAAGTACCCTTTAAATGGTTTTAACTAAGAAAAACTCTACTTTCCTTTGAAGTAAATTTTGTCTAGTTTACAATGAAGCAAGTTTTGACTACTTAAATTTAATATTTCTTCAGTTATCACTTCCTATTCCGCAGAAAGCATGACAATTAAAAAAAGACGGAACATGGGTTTCCTACTTTTCTGCTAAAAATTGCCCCATTGTTATATGAACATTTTTGAAGATACACAAATGTATTGAGGAAGTTAGTAGACTTCATATTATGGGTGATAAATATTCAGGACACAGTCATTATTAAATAATACGAACGATAGCATTTATGAAAACCACATATGTGTATATATATAATATTGTCAGAGTCTGTATTATATTAAGCTCATGTTATGTATGGAAGTCTGCTCTAATCTTTCAGGTGAGCTCGGGCGCATTCGTATTCCTTTGGTTCCTCCATTATAACTATTCTTCATTATGATCTCAATAGGAGAATTTACTTTTAAAATTCACTAAATCACTTACAATCACATAGAGTACACAGGTTAAATACCCTAACTAAATGGGTTGGTTACATACTGTCATTGATTCACAAATTTAGTAAATATTTACCATGAGGACCAGTTAATGACTGTGGTATACTGTGAATGACTTTTGCTGGGTGTGGATGAGTAAAAATTTGTCTAGGAACTTGGCCGAATTCCATGATCTGAACTTCTTTCGAATGTCTCTCATTCCAGTCTTTAATATTTTCAAGATCAACAGATCCTTCATAACAAAGGTAGTAAAATACTGTAACAGAGAAGAAAGACTGATTTAAAAGAGAAGATAAATATTGACATATTAATAAAATAATTTATACCATTATTTGCTCTCTCAGCTTCTTCTCCTCGCTGTTTATACCCAAAAATGAGATCAATCCAATTATGTAAATTAGAAGAAACGTAGTCCGACTCAAGGGCTTCCCTCAGTTTCAAAACAAAATCTTCTCTGTCTACATAAACATAAAGGCTTCTATCTAATAGAGTTTGATAATTACTAAATAAGTAAAAAAAAAAGAAAAAACTGGTGCGGAATGCATCAAACAACTTTTGCTTACCATCCTGCTTAAATAATTAAATGTCTGCACAAATAAAGCTAATTGAACAGCATTTAGCAGAAGGGAAACAATCTACATTACCCATGTTTTGAGTAACTTAAAGTTAAAGTTAAATAGGCTTTTGAATAAGTATATCAAAGGACAGCAATGAAAACCTCATACTCCATCAATCTATTTAAACCACATATGTAACTTCAGTCTCAGAGCACTGTATACAAAAAGAGGTTTGAAAATACATAGATGTTTCTAATCCATAAATAAGTGAGGTGTGTACTATGTAGTAAAAATTATGGGAACTAAATCTGTACCATTTTATGCATTTTTTAAACACTTTTAAACAAATTTAACAAAATGGAGTTATGAGATTTTTATTGTCTACCATCATTATTATATTTTTTATCACTAACTTAATCTTATTTTATTCAACCCAAGATATTCCTATTATATTGAATAATCTATTGATAGATTGTTCAAAAATTAAGCTCATAGCAGTTTGATTATTTTTATTTTAATCAAGAATAAAAATCCTAATTTCAATAATATTTTCAAATTAATTTTTTTATTAAAAATATCGGAACCATGAGATCATTAATTTCTGTTGGAAATTGTATAGGCTCGTATCATTCAAAACTACATTTAACTCATTTTTTAGATAGGTTTCCAGTTAATATTTAGTTATTTAAATCTATTACCGGGGCTGAAGTTATAGAATTAATGATATTTAAGTAATTTCCAATTCCAATTAAAATAACAGGTATAACTAACTTCCAAACACTATGCATGGATTTAATAAAACTATTAGGAGAAAATAATTTTGAACATTTCTCCAATAAATCAGTTATATTAAAAACAGAAACAAGTGACACTTATAGATCCTGCATCAGATAGCCGGAAACCAAAAATTATAACTTTCGTACTTATCAGTCTCAAAAAGACAAACCTTATAGATTTGTAGTTCGAAACCTACATAACTACACCAGGAGTGCCCAGAAGGGGGTTGCATTCAAATTTTTATGGTGTTACTTCGAGGATGTTATGGGCACATTTCGAGGGTGTTATTAATTTTCCGAAACAAAAAGTTTAAAAGCAGCTAACAAGAGGAAAGCATAGAACAGAGCAGTGAAAGTGTAATTTATATGACCTATGATTTCTAGCCTTATGTCTCCAAAATGCAGGCAAAATCCACGTTTCACTAATACAGGCATCATCAAGACAGTAAAACAGCTAATAGAACATCACTCCATGAAAATGGATACATACTTCAATAATCAGAGTATATAATTGCAGTGATAATATCGTGGTAAATGAAATGGACAAGTAAAGTTGTCAAGTTAAATAACAAACAAATCACTAAAAAGGTATTAAGCTCTAAATCCTGGTAATTGTGTTAATGGTATGTAGCCTAAGACTGTTGGCATTATCAATACTGAGCCAACAGGTTTAATAAGCTTTATTAATATCATAACTTCAACTCGTAAAAGCACTATATAATTCTAAGCTTTATTTGAAGTTCTATATTCCTTATGAAAACATACAACAGCAATGTAATTCTAATGTTTGCTTAATAAATATTAGGATAATAAATTAATTTTTATACTAACCAGAAGCCCATGGTGGGAGTTGAACATTATTCACTTTAGTACCATCACACCTATAACCAAACTGAATTCCTTTTAAGTTGTCAAGAAAATCTCCTCCAGAGGAAGTGTCATAAAATTCAGGAACTAGTTCCTTGAAATCTGACATATTTGTCTGAACATTTCTCCAAACATCACTAACACTGAAAAAAGATTAAAACTATTTAAAAAAGTGTTTTTAATATACAGAAATCTGCATTAATTAAAACTTTCTTTCAAATAAACATATAGAACATTGATTATTTTTATAAAATTTTCTTGTTTGAAGAAAACAAAGTTCAAGTAAAAATTATCAATATATTGCTTTTTTTTTCATACAAAATTTACTCTTTTGATGATTTTCAAATTTATTTGTCAATAGATGTTTTAAAAGATTTTTTTATTTTTCCACTTTATACTCACAGATAAATGAAAAATAAGTAGATATAAAGAAAAAATCACAAGAGATGTTTTGAAATTTAACAACTCAAATAAGAAAAATAAACTAAAATAATTTAATCAATTAACCTTCAACAAATATAAAATAAAACGAAAATGCAAATAATTGCCAAAACTCATTCCAACACCTCTGATATAAGGATATAAGTTTAAAAGTAATTAATTGCCTTGAAAATTAATGTCATTATTCACTCATTTAATTTCCTAAAAGGTTACTTGATGATTTTTTGGAAGAAAGGGCCAATAGATACCTAATAATTTAAATATAATAACATATCTAGAGTTATGAAACTACATCAAAAGTATTTATGGTTATAAATATATACATGAAATATTTTTATATATATTATAAGTACAATTAAATAGTATTTTAAACATGATTCGGGATAATGGCATGATTCGGTGGATTTTAAATACTCTTTTTTCAAACTTGGAAAAAAACTTTAAAAGTCTACATTTAGTAAGAACATTTCGCTTAATTTCATTGGAAACATGTGATTTACGTTAAGTAATGTTAGTTTTCTGAAATTATTATTTCTATTTGTTTTTGTCACTCTGCGTTACCTTCTACACATTTATTTATTTAATATTATTTTTTCTAATATTGTATACATTCTGACTGTTATTTCCGGATATTCATTTTCAACCTTAATAAGCATTTTTCTTTTTTTCTCCAGTTTCCAATTATTCTATTCTTTCAAACTTCACATTTAGCCATTTTTTTTAGTTACTGGCAAGATAAGAGAGTTAATTTGTTTAAATAATCCATATTAAAGGTATTTTAGAGGAAGACGTATACAAACATTCGACATTTAAGGTCTCTGAAGTGACATCAATAAGACCTTAATGATATTAAAGACCACTTAATTATGCAATGATACACCGAGTTTAATCATAATCGTTAGAGCAGTTTTTGAAAAAATTGTAAATATGTGTTTCACCGTTGATATTAATTGACACTTCTGGTTAGCTGATTTTATATATAAAAACCTTAAATACGCAATTGTATTTGCGTGCGAGTTTTCGATTTTGAGCTAGGCTGTTCACTTACACACAGACACAGACTAACAGACACACAGACTCTCAGACACACAGACCATTTTGCAGGACTTGGTTATTTGGACTTAGGGGACCTCAAAACGTGTATTTCCGTTGAAAACTCAGATTCAAAAATTTTCGTGATAGCAATACTTTTCCTTTGTTATTTATTACATACGAAAAATACCAATATATTTTCTTATAGTTTTGAGGTTCAGCCCATAAATTAACAACTATTTTGGTGACATTTCATGATTTAATTTTTCTCATAATAAATATGAGAGGGCAATTGGTTTGATTATTTTTGTTGAGATGACTATTGACGTGAACCACTAGTCAAAAATTACGAATCACTCCATTCAACACTAAATCAATGGAGACTTGACAATCTACAATCGAAAAACCATCAATTTTTTAAAAATATAATAAGAAAAATGAAATTATAAATAAGGCCATAACTTTATAGATAAATAAAGTATATTTCAATGTAATTTGTTTTTATTAAGAAATTGTTTGCTTTATATTTATTGGAATTTCCAGCACGTTTTTGAGTTTTTGCTACACGTTTTTCGCATTACAATGATCCAGTAATAGAGTACCATAGAGTTATAGACAGGATATTTTTTATAGGAAAAAATTAAACAATAAACAAAATTAAATTATAACGTTTAAAAAGTATATATTTTTAATAATAAGTAAATGCATATAAATTATAATACATTTATCTTTTTTTCTCTTTTACTCTTCTTTTTTTTTCAGTCTGGTCAAAGCTCTCTTTCTTCCTAACTTCGAAATCTCTTTTGATATTTCCTTTCGATTGATGATATTCTTGCCATTGTTTGGATGTGGCTACACTTTGTATTATCTGTCATGATTTTTTTTGTCTTAGTTTTTTTGAGGTTCAGGCCAGAACAATATTCTTTTGAATGGACTTGGTATTATGTTTGTACCTTTATTTATTATAAATTTGTATGCATTTTTTTGTGATTGCATGGTGATTATCATTAAACATTTTAACATAAAGTGAATTACATAAACTTAACCAACATATTAAAGAAGGATTTATAATTTTCATCCATGAATCAGACGGCCTGAGATGCCAAAAATTATTATTACTAGTTTCTGCGATCAGAATTAAATAAAACTTCCAGGCATTCTATTTTTAGATATATACTGGCCAATCAATGTTGAAAGCGAAATAAAACTAATGAAATGATTCAGTGTTAGACATGGATGTCTATTACTAGTTCTATTGCTTAAATGCTATTCCAGTAATTGACACCCAAGTTTAGGGGTTAATAGGTTGTTTTATATAATTTAAAACAATAAAAATAAATTCTGCACCAGTTTTTAATCAAGAAATAGAAAATTACCTTCTAATAAATTAAACTTATTCCAAATTATGTATACAATTTCAAACTTACTTCCTAAACAAAAGTGATAAGGCAGTCTCTTTGTGGCAAACTAAGTCTTGTTTTAATAAAAAATGAACTGCCACACGGCCATTAGGCATTAGAGTATAAAATAAGCTGTTGTTCAGATATCACCTTTCTGAGTGTGTCAGCAGAAAACCTATTTATACTTAAAATCTCTAAAGTGCATAAAAATATCATTAATCGTTCATGAATTTAAAAGTGTCTATTACTGGTACATTTGCCTTAGATATTAATTCCAAGTTCAAAGTTTTGGTAATCGGCTTTTAATAATAACCATTCCTTGAACAATTGATCATTCGACAATTTCATTCTGGGTGTATCAAACAAATTAGAGAACAAAGATAGTCGTTAAACTGGCCGCGATGTAGGCAGCGGAGTGTTATATTTTATAAAAGTCATAGTCATCCAGGATTTGTAAATTTAGATGTTGATCTTGTAGAAATCTTAGGATTTCAATTTAAACAAAGCGAGAATGCTATTTGTATACACAGAGGTATTTGAATTACTTACCTCCTTTAGGTTTAGCAGTTTATTAATAATAAATATATTTGACAACTTTTCAACAATATATGTATTGATAATCTACTCTTTCATCCTTCTAATGAAAAAATCTGATAACCCTTCATAATTTCTAAATATCTACCAGTTTTATTGCCAAAGATAATTGTATTACAAATTTAGCACCATCGAATTTTAAAATTATAAAAATAAAAATTTCAAGCTCAATTTTCATGAGCGAGTTCTCGTAAGAACGATTAGTCTTACTACATAACTTAAAAGTGCCTTGTTAATTTGATGATGTATTATATGTATTCAGAATACAAAATAATAAATTGAAATGTATTTTTAAAATAAAATACAAATACATTTCAATGTATTTTGTATTTTCAAAAGAAGATAAAGTTAAAAACAATATATTTTACTTATTAAAATACAAAAAATGTATTTTATTTTGTATTTTAAAATACTTTATTTGAAATACTGCCCAAGTCTGATTCTCCTAAAATAGCTTTATTTCATGTGAACATAAAACTTATTTATTTACCAAAAGTCTTGGAATTAGGGCATTTTCAATCTGGAGAAAGATAAAATTTATCGATTTAATAGAAACCAAAAACTCTTGAACACGGCTTTCCATTCGAATCATAAGATAATTTGATAACAAAATCAATAAAAAAGATGGTCTACAAAAATATTGGACAGTTTGGCATGACCCCACCGGCAACATGTCAAAAGAACGAGGTTATATAGGCCAAATGGCCAAATATTTTTGTAAGCTACTTTTTTCCTTTTTTTTTATCATATTATCTTACAATTAAAGTGGAAAGCAAATCAATATTTATGAATTTCTAGTACCTCATTAAATTAATGAGAAAATTCTTCACTTCTGAGAATTTTCTAATATAAAAATTTAGATAACGATAATATGAAGCCATTTTCAAAGTTGTATGCTGATGTTAATAATTTGATAAAAAAAAACCATGGATCATGTACTTTGGAAAATAAAGAACTTCACATCTGTGCTTTACTTTTTATAAAATAAAAGGACTTATAATATACCTGTTAAACATTCGATCAGGATGATCAAATCGTCCATTCTGCAGACATAACATGTAATGAGGGTATTTCCTTACAAGATAAAATAAAACAAAGCCAGGAGCCGAATAATGAGACCCATAAAGAAATTTAGGTTCGGGCATTTCTTCATATCTATCCTGCAAAAAACTGTTTTTCAAATAGTTGCTGGATGTTTTATAAATTTGATTTTATCAATAATACAAGGTTTTCACAAAAACCATAGTTCACATAAAACACTTTTATGTGACCTGGAAAATAAAATATATATCCTGGTATTATTTTTTAAATATTACTGATTATTTTTCCTCCCATTAAGCACAATATGTATAACTGTAATATATATATATATATATATATATATATATATATATATATATTATATATATATATATATGTGTGTGTGTATATATTTAATATATATATTTTCTGTTAGCGCTACAGATCATCAAGATCTTTGGTCACGAGATGTGATCTCCTTAAAGACATAGAATAGAATAGAATAGAAAAATAATTTTATTCTGGGACACAGTCCCTTGAGAATAACAAAATAGAATAAAATAAAAAGATATATATTGCTTCCTGGACCACAGATAGCCTGGAGGGGACCACCCAACCTCACGTTGTTATTAACCATGGTCTCCATGGTGCACCAACCCATTCAGGTTCAAGGACAGTGACACATCGGTCTAGATCCATGGATTATGGCTGATCAGAGTCATCAGGAGCACAAGGATCTATATTTCTTTACCCAAAACAATCCATGGACCAAACCTCAGAGGTATCCTGGTAAATCAGATCCCGATTCCTGATTTAAGTACACAGGGTAGTCATCAGTCCTATGCCTGGTCGATGTGAGTTGCCTCCAATTGGCTGATGGGCCTCACATTCCCAGGCGAGAAGGGAGTATCAGGCAGCATGGCTTTCTCTGGCGGGCTATCACCCATCCAAATAATAATCACACTTGATATTGCTTAACTTTTATTACCTATTGCAAGCACCTTAGCCCACACAGCTACCCCGGCCGTACAGTATATATATATTCCATGAAAGAAGTCAGGGAAAAAATAATTTTATAACCATCTTACATGAAAAATACTTGAAAAATTATTATTTTTATAAATAAAATGTGTTTTTAGGTAATTATATTCATTACAATACATCCGATATCAAGGAAAAACAAGAAATTAAAGCTTTGCAGCAGTTAATTGTAGTCATTTTTTCATAAAACACGGATACTTTAAGGTGCCTGGATAGGAAATCATATCATTACTTTATACAACTTGAGGTGAATCTAAAAATTTTTCCTAATAAACCTCTGTTTAATTCATATGGACTTAAAGTTTATTAAACAAGGATGTTTTTGTAAAACTGGAGTAAATGTAGTACAGTTAAAGAAAGTGAGAAAAAAATCAAAAACAATTTATGACTTTTTTTTAAATGGAACTTAGCTATGTTAAGCCATTCAAAAGTCCTCTTTAAATAGTTTTAACAATAACAAAGTCTAGTTTCTTTTAAAGAAAATTTTATCTAGTTTACTATGGAGCAATGTTTAATTATCTAAATTAAATATTTTTTAAGTTATCGCTTCCAAAAATGTGACACTTAAAAAATGCAAATCTTAAATTTCCTGCTTATCTGCTGGAAATTTACAAATTGCTTACATGAACTTTTTTGTAGACTTGATGTCTACTATTAACCTTTTAAATATTTCCCTCTACTTAAGGGACACCGTGCATATATAATAGGTATATATAGATATGTATTGTATAGAAAACAGGAGCACTATTAGATGACTGGATAGAAATTTACATCATTTCTTAACACAACTTGAGGTGAATCCCAAAAATTTGCCCAATAAACCTGACTCTAATTAATATTTACTTGAAGCTTATTAAACAAAGAAGTTTTTCTAAAAGTGGGGTATCTGTAGTATAGTTGGATAATGATAAAAAAAAATTGCCAATAATTTATGATTTTTTTAAAAACAGAATTTCGCCAAGTTTAGCCGCTCAAAAGTCTTCTTTAAATGGTTTTAACAATGATAAATTTTAATATCATTTGGAGAAAATTTTATCTTTAATTACTTAAATTAAATATTTCTTTAGTTATGGTTTCCTATTCATCAATAAGCATGACTTACTTAAAAAAAAAATAGGATTTCCTACTTTTCTGCTGAGAAATGGTCCATTGTTTATATAAAATTGTTTGTAGGCCTTGAGGTCTGCTATTACTCCTATAAAAACTTCCCTCTACTTACGGGACACCCTCCCTGTATAAAAGAGGTATTTCACCCACTCACTTTTTAATTGTTAAATTTCCTTCAATGTCCAATAAATAAGACTAGGTTCGGAAAAATTCTTACTGTATGGGGTTTAAAAAAAATGATTTTAAAAATCCCAAAAATTAAAATTGTATTGTATTTACTGTATACTTGATTAGCTCACGTTCTCACATTTAAATTTAATAGGCAAAACTATTGAAACTGTGAATATAACTGTTAAAAACTTATTACTCCACAGAAGGGAAAAAGGGACTTAAATAGTTTCTGAAGAATAATCTAACTAACAAGACCAGTAAAATATAATGAGAAGCATACATCAACGAAAATGTCCACTATGGGAATGCTACATTGCCACATTCTGGAATCCTGCCACATCCTGGGCTTGGAAGGCATGGCAATATTGCAAAACACTATATTCTATACTAATATATGAAATTAAAAAGTTTGTTTTTTTAATGCAACAACTTTAGATATTACCTGTCAGACCTATATTATCTCTACAAAAAAAAAAACTTTGTTAGCATAAAACCATCAAACAGAAGAAACTTTCTGTATTTTTTTTTTAAATTATTGTTCCTTTTGTTTTTCTACCAAAATTTCTGGTGTTATTCAGTTAATCAGATGCTCTTAGTCATATACTCATAAAGTATAACTAACAACCATCTGTAATTCACACATAAAGTTTGTGAAATAAGGAGGCACAGCTCACTGTACTTAAACAGCACACTTATTAAGAAGTTTGTAGTTGGCTCTTCTACAAGTAAGGAAGTGGAACACTTTTTACAACGGCTTCACATTTTTATAGAATTTTATTTAGAAAAAGCTTTAAAAGTTCTAAAGACCCTTTTAAGTTTCTTGACGGGTTTCTTGTATGAAATCAATTTGGTCCAGAACCTTCACTGTGTAAAAGGGTTTCATAGGTCACAGAACCAAAATGATTCACATTGACAATTTCTGACCAACCTATAGCAGCACTCCAAATTTGATAGTATCATGTAAGAGCTGACTTAATAACACATTTGGTCAATATTATCTACCAATTCCTCAGCATAATTTATTCATAACAAGTCCATTCTTTGTAATAAAAAGGGTATGCTCACCATCCTTTGTTAAAATGATAGTAAAAGCCTAGTCAAACCAATCATCATATAAATATCAATGTGAGAAACAATAGGGATTAAGAATGACATCATAAAATCAAAGGAACACTCATGAGCAAGACCTTTTATGATGACCTAGTAAAAGTTACTGTTACTACATACTAATATATTTACTTCATAAAACATACCTTTAATTTATGAAACCTTTCAAGATTAAGCGCTCCGATGGGTTTTGTCAAATCACGGAATGATCTTGGATTATCAAGATCTAACTTAGGAGAAGTATAATCAGAAACAACCCATGGAAAAATGGGATATTGAGTTAAATCATTAAAAGTCCTATCAGCTTGGCTAAAATCATATTTAAACAAAACTTAGTTAACTAATTTAATGATGTTACTATGAAACATTGTCTATAATATACCTATTCAGATACAGTAGATAATCATAATTTGATATAGAACCATTAACCCAATGAAGTGCCATTATTTCCTGCTGAGAATCATCTAAATTTAATGTAGGCTGAACAAGAAGGGCTTCGTACAACTCATCACGTTTTGATCTATTTTTCAATGAAAGGTACAGATGATTTTCTCCACATTGAAGCTCTAGACCCTCGCAAATGAGAAATTAAGTTAACTTAAAGAAAACAAGTACTTATTAAAATATTCAATAAATCAATCATGAAATCTTACCACATGCTGCAAAAGAAATCTCCGTTTAATTATATTCTTAATGTCTTTCAGATTGATTTTCAAAATATGGTACTGAAAAGTTTTAAAAATATAATTGTTTTGGTTTAAATTTTAAATCTTACATATCTAAAACAACAATTCAATAACTTGTACAAGTAAAGAATCATATGTTTACTCAAGGATTAATTACTGGTTCAATCTTGTTGAATGGTTGGTAATATAAAGTAGTTGTTGAAAGGATAATTCGTCCATGGTTCATAACCAAAGGTGTTATTTTATGGCCAGTCATTTCTAAAACAATCCGTTCATCCACATCATGAAGCCATAAAGGGTCAAACTTCACCAGAGACTGACGAGAAAGTTCTATTGCAGCAACCTATTTAAGATAATTGGTAAAAATTTGTTTACTTAAAACTTAACTACAAATTACAAAAACTTTTTTTTCCCCCTACCATCTGATTTTGTTCAGCAGCAGGTAAAGTAGAAGCTCTATGGAGTTGACACACTAAAGGTAAACAGTCTTTGATGTTAGCATAATTCAATGAAAAAAGAAATGTTTTTTCATTCTGGAAAAAAAAATACATATATATATACATTTTACGCTTCAATAGTTACTTAATTACTTCAATAATCATTATAATTCTTGAAACTTACATTCTTAAACTTATATGGAGCTAAAATATTTCCCTCAAATATTTCTACATACTGATTACAAATTACTTCGAGCACATTGGTATTGGTTTCGTCTCTAAACAGTTAATAGAATTAGATAGAAGATTATGTAAAATATAAACAAACACTACTAATAATTAATTAATTCCTAATTAAATAATTGACTGAGAGAAAAACCTTGCAGTCAATTGCACAGGGGCGGATCTACGGGGGGAGGGAGGAGGAGGGCTTTCGGGCTGAAGCCCCCTCCCAAAATGGTAAAATATAACTATGATTTATTGAAAAAAATATTAAATACTATCTCTTATAGTATTCTTGTTCGTGTAATTATATTTAATAAGACTTCAAGAACCATTTAAATACTATTTCATATAGGTAGTTAATTTCTTTCCTTTTTTTTCAAATTAATTATCGTTTTATGAATATGAAAAAAAAATCTTTCAGGCTGAAGCCTTCCCAAAATTAAATTCTGGATCCGCTACTGGTCAATTGTGACCCCACCCTGATCACCAAGAAAGATTATAGCTTTTCCAGGTATTCCTTTTGAGTATTTTAAGCATTTATATTTATAGATCAAAATACCATATGCATTAATAACAAAGTACTGAACCCAAGATCCTTCATGTGCTGTTATGGTACCGGTTGTTTGTTTTTTTAATAATAGAAAATAATAAATAAGTTATTTGACAGTTTCAATATTTTTCAATCAATGGCAGTTAAAAAAAAAAAATACTTCAAGACAATAAACCCAGAATCAGCATCAAAAAAACAAAATAGATCCAGTCACAACCCATGGATCCTCAAGACATCACATATTTTCCAAACCAAAATTGAGCATGTTCCAAATATTAGAACATTAATAACAAAAAACATGGACTACTATCCTGCAATATTAAAAATCATGGTGTCTAGGTTAAGTTATGAGAAACGGAAGAGGAGGATAGGGTGTCGACAAAATTCTATCCATCAGATTTCCTAACTTTTCCCTGATCCTTCCAAATAAAAAAAGGTGAAGGAAGTGAAATGTGATCAAATTCTTTTGTCAAAATATTTATTATTAACTTTCACAAAACTGAATAGTAATATATGCAATTCAAACGAAACTTGCGCATGTTCCAAATAATAGAACATAAATGTTAGAAACCTTGGACCACTATCCTCGTGAGTTAAAAATCATCAATGTATTGATTGACAAGATTAGGGATAGTTCTCTCACTAACTGGAAGAGAGTGGAAGAAAATGTGACTACATAAAAATTCATGAATAAATTCTGTCAAATGACCATTGGATTGGCCAGGTCCAAAGTACAGAATAAGATATGAACAACAAATTATCTGAGAAATTATTATGATTATGATGATGGCAACTATTATTTTTTATTTACAGACATGTATGTATGTAAATTACATCAATAATTTCAACAAAATCTTTATTGTAGTCAATTTCACTGATAGGGACTTGCTTTAGGCTAAACCATAGGAGGGAAAACATTTCATCATTAGAGGCCGCAATAATTACTTATATCCATTCCATTTCATTCTATTAATCTTCAAATTCTCATTAAATAATTTTAGCACTAGATTAATAAATATCGCGCAAAAACATTTGGAGGACACAACTATGTCACAGAGACCATGGATTCCCCATTTGTGGGCTAAACCTTAATAGCAAATAACTACATTTTATTTATTGTTCCTAATTAAGCAATTTGCAATTTTCCAATGAGAATACTCTCTTATAACCCTGTAAATGGGATAAGTCAGTCGGATATTACATCGTTGATCATGATTTTTTAACCATAAAATTAACTTTAATATCATAAATTTGCTTTAAGATTGAAATTCAGACACCTTTACTCATACCTACCAAGCAGGATTAAAACTGCTGCTTTCAACTTCGCCACATAAATAAATAATAATCTCTTCTAATAAAAAAGTCACTTGATTGAACCAAATTGATGGAACTGAAGTTTAGTCAATATAATAATTTACCATAAGTAGACTGAGATTATTTTAATAATTAAAAAAAATTAATTAATATAGTTTTTTTTTATTTCTTAATGACATTTACAACTGTATTAAATAAATACATCTTGTAAATTTGAACATAATGGATATAATGACATGAAAACACTTGCTGAGTAATTACCTAATGGTAGTACTCTAATGATATGTCTACATTAGGAGATCACGGGGCCATCTTCTTTTCAGACGCCTCGGAGGGTTATCAGGAATTGAAGAGGAAGCAAGGTTAGAAACGAGAATTTATATAAAGTAAATTTAGAAAATAATGGTGCAGTAAAGTTTGTTTAAGATTAAATAACCTATTTATAAATTAACATATTTATTTGAAATCAATGATCCTGAAAAAAGCTTCACTAATGATAATCCCTTATTTTCAACATTTCATCTACCTTACCATCTTCAGAAGAATTTGGTCATTTGTGTGCAGAACTGTCTCTAAGGAATGTTTAATTTAAATTTACAGATCAGTCAAAAATCTTATTTTACTGAAAAATGATAAATTTGGCCTCAATTAAAGGTATTGAGTATGTGTTAGACTCATCATTACCATAATAGAAAAATAACAACAGGAAAATCATAACAAAATAAAATAAAAATAAAACAAAAGAAATGTAATTAGAGACAATATTAAATAAAAATATAAAAACACATTCATATTTATTTACAATATTTACAGTCAGCAGAGGGAGATCCGAGTCAGGTCCTTTCCACCACTTGTGAAGAATAAGGCAAGACTTCAAGAGATTTCAGCGCTTCTCTCTCAGCCGCATCACTGGAATAGGAATCCAGTGGAGACTGAGAGAGGGCACTAAAGCCACATACGCTCATGAATTGAGTTGAGAAGCTGGCCATTGCCGTAACTCCAGTGCTGTATTTACAAGAGATCTCGAGGCCACTGCCGTTTTAACCTCCGAGGAGGATTTTAGGGATAACTGGAGCTGGATAAGGATTTTGCTAAGGGGTTAGGATGGTAGATTAGGTTCTAATGAAAATTTGAGAATCAGGATGGAATAACATCAAGGATATAAGGGATGATAAGGTCATAAATAAATTTCAGATAAAAAGTTTAGTCAATAGAATATTTTATCATAATTGGTAATTGGTTGACTGTCGTGGATAATGAAGAGAAGAATAGTTGGGGTGCTCAGTCAAAAAAGGAAGGCAAAAAATAAATTATAATATTTAATAAAATAAAATTGTAAAAAATAAATATTATAATTTATTTTTTGCTTTCCTTTTTTGACTGAGCACCCCAACTATTCTTCTCTTCAGAATATTTTATCAGTAGATCGGGATCACTTTAGCAACACCTTCAAGAATAAGAAATAAAACTAATCATTCTATAAAAGAAAACAGAAGGTCTACACATATTTTCTTTATTCCATCACATCTTTTATACAAACTGCGACATATACCTAGAATGGATTTATTAGTTATATGAAAATGCAGGACTTAGATGATGTGTTTTAGTCTAATCAGCCATAAAATTTGTGTTAAAACACAAATACATAACTTAACTATTCCTAGCTACTGATTACTTTAACCAAATGAGCACCTGATTAAAAGACCTTAGAAACAAAGCCCTCTGTGGACACAGAAGTTACTCAAAAGCAATGAAAAGGAAGCAATAAAGAATTTTGATGCATACCACACAAGCAGCTTTTCTTCAGGCCAATTGAGGAAAATACAGCCTTTAAAATCAGAACTCAGGACTAGTTCTACTTTTTTGGACTGTCAATAAGCCCAATAACAATAATCACCAAGCTCTCATGAACTAGTACCAGGTTGATCAACCATCATTGATTAATTTTAAATCAAATTATCATTACATACATTTTTTTTTCTTACTCTTCTTGATTTTTTGGCTTCTGCCATGAGTCTTCTAGCAGCTTTGGGGCTGTTGTAGTTTAGTTATCTTGATGATACCCGGAGAACATGTGGTTTACAAGAACTGGACGCAATCACAAATTACTCCCTCTTTATAAGGCACTTAACTCAAGGATAGTTTGCAACCTTCTGCAGAAATATCCATCCTGTTTATTTTATGGGATAGGGTATTACTAGCTCTATGCAGACCCTCCAGCCTTGTGTACAGCTATGGTGTAAGATACAGGGGTCACTCACCTCCCATTGCATCTCTGGGTAGGGACATTACCATATCCATGCGGGAATCGAACATGCACCATAGTGGTCTAAGCAATCGAGAAGGATCTGCACTTATTTATTTAAATTTAATATTATTTGTTTCTATTTTTTATCTTTTTGTTATTATCCTGATAAGAGGATTTGATCTCCTGACATAACATTTCTGCAGGCAACTTACTCGCTTGACTACCACGGCCCCATTTATTAAATAAACCATATTACATAAAACCATTAAAAACTAGTTTCTTCTATATAAAATATTTTGTTAACACCATAAACTATAAATACATCTTTATGCTCATGAAGACATTAAAATAAATTAATTAAAAAAATAGATTTTTTATATTCAATTTGAAAATTATTGCAATTACAACTAATAATATTCTTCAAGCTGCAATTTTTACACTTAATATTTCTGTAAAACAGAAAAATATAATGATGATATAGCAACAATTCTTGATAAAAAAAAAATGAAAGATACTGCTGATTGTACAACAATAAATAATCATAACTAGATCTATTACAGAATGATAAGATAAATTAAAGAAAGTCTAATGAATAATAAATCATCATGAGAACCTGGTATTAAAAATAAATAAATAAAACTTCAATTGACAAAATAAACTCAATGAAATTATAAGCACAACTGAATAAAAGTACTAAATCCATCAATTAATGTCAAATAATTTTTTTTTATATTTACCCTATTTGAAAATCAGGAACATAGCCTTGCACAATGGTTAGATATCCAGGTCTATGAGGAACACTGCTTCCACCAGAACACAATTTAAAACATTACTGTTGTGACAACATATTTTACATATAGAGAAAAAATAACTCACCTAGAGGTTTTGTCACTTTCATGGTGCTTAATTTCTTTACATTCTTTCAATAAAACTTTTATGATTGGCTTTAAATGATCTTGAGGGTCAAATACAAGTGATTTAGAACAGATTTTCAACCGGCCTACTTCAGATAAATTGTGATCATCTGATTTAACTTGAAGATGAACACTGAAGTCTTCGAAATATACTTCTCCAGGTTCAAGAAGTAGTAAAGAAAATCTGTAAATGATCTTAAATTACCGTATGCTTTAAACCAGGTTTAATATCACTTAGAAGGATGTAACATAGGATTTGTTACAAACCTGTGCTTATCCATATTGTCGAGATGAAATAATCAAAAACAGAAGCCATGTAAAACCTTCACAGTCGTTGACATCGTACACTACAATCAGAAGGTAACAAGTGGTTAACCAGTTTTTACTGATTTCCGGGAATTTCACTGTATTTGTTGGTTTCGTCAATAAATTTGAATTTTGACTGTGTTATGAAAAACTTGTTTTTCTTTAGATATTAATCTCTTAATTCAAAAACAGATTTCAATTATCATTTTGATGGAATTCAATTACCATAATTTTTAATAATTCAATTACCACAATTAATCATAGCTTTTAAAATCATTGATCTATTTTATTTTAGTTAAATTCAGTTTAAAATTGGTATATTTTCTGATAGAGATATTGCACATATTCCTAAACTGAGTGCTGAGTTCATCGATGGCGTAGGAAAACCAGCAAATCGTTCCTAAACAGATCGATGGAAAACTATAGTTGGAATACAACCAATAAAACAATGGAATACAACCGATGATAATAAGAAAACAAAACAACTTTTCTCCCTCCAAGAGCGGGAATATCTGGCGTTAGACGAGAACTGAGATGAAGCCTCAGTCTGTGACCACCTCTCTAGAACAAGATTTTCAGGAAGTTATTAGTAAGAAAAAGAAGAAAAAAATAGAAACTCAAGCAACATCACAGACCGAAACTAACCAGATTCATTCAGCTGAAAGAAAAAAAAAAGGGAGAACTATGGTTGACATTGTAAAATCCCTTCCTCATAAGCCTTCTGAAGATGCTCCTAAACATACCTTTATAACCATAGGTGGGGAAGGGAAGAGTGCTTTGGAAGTTATAAAAAACCTACCCTCTCCGGAGGAGCAAGGCTTAAATGCTAAGGTTGTGAGGGCCACCAAGAGCGGAGGCGTCCTCATCAAAGTTGAAAATGATCTCCAGGCCTTGAAGTTGATTCAATGGACAGTCCTCAAGGATAAGGGTATCGAAGCCAGAATGGCCTTGAAAAGAAGGCCCAAACTAGAAGTGAAAGGGATTCCCCGTTCATAGACAGGTGCTGACCTTGAAAGATATATCTGGGGAATAACAGCTGAGAAGTCGGCTCCCCAACTGAACATCAAAGAGCGCATCCAAGCACGTTTTTCACTAGAGGCCAGAAGCGGCTTAACAAGCAACTGGGTTGTTGACGTACACCCAGTAGTCCGATTCCACCTATTGGAAGTGGGAACCATCGATGGCGGATGGTGGGCGATGGCCTTCAGGGATTTCGTGGATGCGTCGTCCTGCGCAAAATGCTTGGAGTATGGTCAAGGGACCGTAATTAGTAGCTCGGGTAAGATAGACACCAAAATATCAAACAGAATATTTAAGGCGAATCAAATGTATTACCAGACTACTAATAGCATCATCGGCCACCGCGAAGTAGACAAAAGACCAAAATGCATGTGTATTTGAAAAATATTTCCAAAGAATTGGAAGTAAAAGAGGAAAAACCCTGAATGAGTTGGGAGCGGCTAAGCAGGGATCGGGAAGAGTGGTTATGCTGGGATTGAAGCTCCTCGACGGCATAAGAGGAAGACAAAGAAGAAGAAGAAGGTTTGCCGAAAATTGAAGAAAATTATTTTTTTTTTAATTGTTGTTCTATGTATATATTGTTCATGTAAAAATATAAATTGTAATAATAATTAACATTTCCGAAAAAACATTCCGTATTGCTGCTCTCGTCCCTAATATGTATACGCCCTTGATTCTCGGCATGTTTCAATTTGTTATGGCTTAATTTAATTGTAAAAAAAATATTTGGAATGTTAAATGAGATTACATTTAACAGTACGAATTTCGAATTTATATTTGAAAAATATTTTTTCGCGCTTTTCACATTAATTTATTGTCTAAATTATTTACTTCATATTATATATTATTATATTATAATTATGGTTTATTTTGATTTGATGGTTTATATTGATTTAATTATATGGTGTTTTTCTTTCTCTCTCTTGCCATTACAGACCTTGTAGATCTTTTCCTGCCTTTACACGCGCCCGTCTTGGACTATTTCTTAACCAGTTATCTGCACGCAGGTCGATTGCGTCTTTGTTTATTCCACGGGCGGATCTACGGGGAGGGGCTTTTTCGGGCTGAAGCCTCCCTCAAAAAAAAAAAAAAAAATGGGAAAATATAACCATGTTTAACGAAAAAAATTATCTTTAAAAGTATTATTGATCAACTAATTACAGTAAATAGGACTTCAACAATCATTTCAAGACCATTTCATATAGCTAGTTAGTTTCTTTTTTTCTTCCGTCATTATCCTAATACAATTATACAAAAAAAAAATCTGTCGATTTGAAGGCCTCCCCCAAAATTAAATCCTGGATCTGTTAGTGGTTGATTCTATCTATCCATCTTCTTTTTGGCTTTACACGTGGTCTTTTACCTCCTATTGAGGCATTCTATGGTATTATTATATAATTTATTTTTTCAATAAATCTCCAATAATCTGCTATTCGGAAATTCGACATTAGGAATCCTTGACATTCCTTTAACAGGTTTAGAAAAATTGAAAATACAGTTGTTCTACTTACACGTGTATAGTTTTATGAAAAATGCTTTACAATCTCACATCGTATGACTAATTTATGCATAAAACAAATGACGAAACAAATATTTTATTTTTTCTCCCGAAATATTAGAACTAAAATAATCTTGTACGGTTTATTCAGTCTTTACGGACATTGATACCTAATTATTTAAATATAATATCAGATTTGGGATTATTAAACTACAGTAAATGTATTTAAGGTTATAAACATATGATTTATACATCCTTGAAATATTTGTATATATCCCTTCTTCTTTCACAGTAGTACTATGAAACAATTATTTAAGCAATGCCATTGCCTTGATTTGGTGGATTTTAAATATTTTTTTCAAACTTAAAAGAAGTTTATATTTAATTTCCTTGAAAGCGTGTGATTTCAGTTGAATAATATTAGTTTTAACAAATTATTATTTATAATTTTTCGTCACTCTCCATTGCTTTCTACGACTTTCTATTTTTGATATTGTTTTTTCTAAAATTCTCTGCTATCCAAACGATATATTATACGTATCCTTTTGACTAGCATTTCCGGAAATTCATTTTCGACTTCAATACACTTTTTCCATTTTTTTCAATCATCAATTTTTTCAAAAGTACTATTTAGCATTTTTTCGTAATTCTTAATAATGAGAGATGGTTAATTATTTAAAATAAACCAAATTAAAGATACTTTAAGGTAGGGAAGACATGATGAAAATTTAAGCCATGTAAAGTGACATTAATGGCGATAAGGCCTCAATGATATTAAAGACTACTTAATTATACAATGATACACCAAGTTTGATCAAAATCGTTGGAGCCGTTTATGCGAAAATTGTAAAAATGTGTATAACCGTTGATTATAAAGCGCCACTTCTGGTTAGCCAATTTCCAGGAAAAAGTTGCTGTTACATTTAAAGCATATATCTATCTTAAATATGTAATATCAGTTTCGTATGACTTTTCGTTTTTGAGCTAGACTGTTTACATGAATTTCCGAACAATTTTTGTTGTTTTTTTTACGTGACTCGTCATTTTATCGAAATTATTATTATATACAAAGTTAAAGAAGATAAAATTTACTATCAATTTTATACATAACTTTTTGATGCAGAGACAACTGATGCGGAATTAGAGAATGTTGACTGCTTATTTCACAAGAAATATCTGTTTTCCCAAAAAAACTCATAATCTATGCATCTATTCATTTTAATCAATTTGAAATAGCATTAAATATTCTAAGTACCTCATGTATACACGTTAATATATGAGAAGATTAAGCGGGTGTTAAAGCGCATGGAATGAAGGCATATTTCACTCGTAGTATCTGCCGCTCTCATCTTACGTGCTTTTCGTCTTTTCAATGCTTTTAATTATGCTAATTTAACTATATATATAGCATAACTAGAATGTATAAACAAAAAATATAAAAACAAAATACTTAGCTTATATATATTCTGTTGGTATGAGAGATATCAAAATTCATAATAATCATAAACTTAAGAACTGAAATGAGCTTCAAAGTCCGAGCGCTCTTATGGCTTTTCAATCGTTCGTATATTATGAATAATATCCAGTTCAATAAAAAATTTGTATGCACTTTCAATTTAATTCAAGCTTATGTAGAGTCGTATTATGCGAGTAAGCGAAATGTTTGACCGCTCGGACTTTGAAACGCATTTTGGTCCTCAATTTCTTTTATTAGTATTATGGATGTTGAAGTCTTTAACGCCAACGGAGTATATAAAAACTAAGTGTTTTGTTAATACATTCCAGTTCTGTTATAAATAAAGTTAAATTAGTCGAATCAAAAACATTGAAAAAATAAAAAGCCCGTAAGTTGAGAGCGGCAGATACTACGAATGAAATACACTTGGGATTCCATGCCCTTTAACAACCGCCTAACCATCACACGTATTAAAGTTTCTACATGAGGCACATAAAAAAAACTAATGCTCTTTCAAACTGATAATGATGAATTTCTTCGCGAGATGCATCGATTGTGAGTTTTGGGGAAAAACCGACGAAAACAGATATTTCATGTAAAGTAAGCAAGCAGTCAACATTCTTTAACTCCTCATCCGTTAGGCCTACATCAAAAAGCTATATACAAATTTGGGTAATTATTTCCAAACGCTACTCCACTCGCCATCTTGGTTGAACTGGTATTGTGTCCTGTGTTCTGATAACGTTTACAAAACACACCACCAGGAAATGATTACCCAAATTTGATCTTCTTTAACTTTGGATATAATGATAACTTCGATGAAATGCATAGTTTGAAAGTCATGTCCAGAAGCCTAACAACAGTTCGGAAATATCTCTCTTTTTGGCATATATCTCGGAATGCAATGGAAAATTTCGTTCAGGACCATCAAATTCAGATTCAGCATCCCAAAAAACACAAAAATCCGAAGATAAACGGACTATTTGATTTTTTTCAACATCCAACTACCATCTGACTGGCCTATTTTGATGACTTGACTTTTCTCAGTTTTCAAAAGGCAACGGAGTACATCAGTCAAGGTGAATTCTCTTATAGGGGCATATCCTTGACATCATATCAAAATTTCAGGTGTATGTTCTTCCGTTCAAGTAACCATCAAATTTCGCCTCTTATTTAAATTTTCATAAAAAAAGCAATGGCTTTCAACTGCCTCACTGAAATTGTATGTTCAGATGAAGTTTATCTAGAATTTAAAATAGGTTACTAGTTTTAAGTCATTAGTTAAATGAAATAATCTTTACTTCCTAGTCTATTAGATACTCTTTTATATAAACATAAACCTTTTTCTTCATTTCCTGGTTTAAAAGTTCTCTTAAAATTGAAAACTTAACGTACCCTCTCAAAAATGTTGATGCCATACAACCCCCCTTTGGTGGAAAATGATAAGATTTTTCATGGTATGTTCTACATGGGATGAGGAAATAATTCCCACATTTACAGCCAATTATGAATTTTCTTCATCTCAGCTACTAAATTTACTGGGCTATAAACTTTTGTTAACACTTAGGAGGAAAATAAAAAAACTCTAAAGATTCATGAACAAATTTAATAATTCTCAAAATATACAGACATACAGAAGTAAATTACAATTTAAAAGAACTATTTTCTTCAATAATTGCACACTTTACTCCATATTTCACAACCAAAAACTAAAGTAATTATATGAGGTTCCAACACTATTGACTATCCAACAATACTGCCAGAGTTTAAAATGTTATTCGCCTGTTTTTTAAATAATCTAGATATACAGATAAATGACATTTTGTACTGAAGCAGCACATTAAGAGAAGAATATAATGCCTATGAAAAAAACAAGAAAAAATCTACATAAGATAGAAAAAAAGAAGTGATACAGATCAAGAACATGGCTTGATAATTACATTTTATAAAAACACCTATTCCATTTCAGTTTTCCTCTATAGAAATCTGTGAACTTAATTCTGATGAGAAAATATGCACCTGATGTGGAAATGGTAACAGATGATTCTTGCTGGGGAAAATTGCCTATTCTTCTTTATGGAATATTTTCAGAAGGAAACATGGGACACAAGACCAGTAATTTAAAATTAACTTTTATTTTCAATCAGTTTCAACATGAAAAACTTATTTTTCTTATCTTTTGATATTAGAACTTTTCATTTGGATTACCATTTTTTTTTTACTGGCTATAGGTGTGTGAATATACCTGTAATAGTTTTCACAAATATTGTAAGTGCCTTCAAAGGATAGCCAAATAAAGAACAAATTGACTCTCGAATTTTGATCACGATGGATTAATAATTTATTTTACTAGTATAAATTATTTTACACAAGCTATACACAAAATGGTTAGGGAAAATAGAGGTAGAATAGTCTCTAGACAAAGTAATTGGTTTGAAAAAAAAAAAAAAAAAGTGGCTTATTAATATATTGTTCATTCTTCATCGTAAAATCTTCAAAATGATAGCATAATTATCGGTTTTGATGAAGCATTAAGGAATATATATCATGCCATTAAAAAAATAAATAAATTATATCAAAAAAAGTTTAATATTTTATCTTGGATAAAAAAAAAAATTATGTCCTTGAAGGGATAAAATAATTAAAAGGTCATAATAAATTTATACTTCTTGTTTTTTCAGACATGTATGTCAAAATAAACATATAGTATTATATGTTACAAAAAATCGTATGTAAGAAAAAAAAAATCATTCCATAAAAAAAAAAAAAAAATTAAGGATTCAAACTTTTTGAGTGTTGTTAAAATTTTTACTAAATCACTACACTCATTTCTAAATCATACTCATTAGATAGTTAATTAAAGGATGTTATCTAAGAGATTGAAAATACAAAGAACACATCATTACATTATATTTCTAATAACATAAGATTCAGTCTAAACAGACAGATTTGGCTTAAAGTAATTTTGCTAGAAGACAGTAATAATAATAGCAATGATTGTATATGCGATTTCAACGAATAATTTTATTGCTAAAATTACAGAATGGAATATCACACAATTTGACTTTTTTCCCAAATAATTTGAGAACATTTCTTAATATAATTATTACTTTTCAATTCAGTTCTTACAAACCAGTATACACCTTTTCTAAATATAAGATGAAAACATTTAACATAAATTTTTTTATACAATAGAATAATTGATAATTAAAATATAATACAGACAACTGTGCAATGAAGGAAAGAGTTAATTTATTTCCAACACTATATTAACCAAATATTAACTATATTGAAAGATGAATTCTGAAATACTACAGCTAAACACTTTCCAAATTTAAGTCTAAAATTTGTGAACTGTCATATGAATTAACAAGGTATACAACAAAATAGTATTAACAAAATTAAAGAACTCTTTTGAGTTTCTTTATAAGGTACTGACAATATAGTAAAAAATGGTCTAAAATTGCAATAATGCATTGGATTATTTTACTATAGTTATAAAAGATAGTATCCTTAGAACAATTAAACCTGAATACTTTATACTAAACATAAACATATGTAAAATAAAAAATAATAAAATAAGTTGCATTATTTTATTAGAGGTTTACTATATCAGTCAGAAGTTCACATTAATTTAATTGGATATTGAGTATTAGCTTAATGTCACACAAACACCATTCAAACTTTGGTTGACCTTTCACAGAAATTACAAGTAAAAAAACTTAACACCTAATAGGTGTTAAAAAGACATCTATAATAAGCAACAGACAAAAAAAAAATCCTATTTTTGTTGTCTCAAAGTGAACAAATAACAGAAAAAAAATAAAAATATTTATTTACGAAATTTTATTACAATAGTATAACAAAACAATAACAACTTCCAATATCGAAGGATACTTCATAATAAAAATGACTAACACATTTATTCTAAATAATAGAATATTAGAAAAAATGACTACACTGAAACATGAAACTGACATAAATACTAGCATTTGATCGGTGAGCTTAATGACTATAATACAAACAAGTAAACGAACAGTAAATGTTACTTTCTGTTTAAGTCCAAACGACAGTTAACAAAATATAGAAAATGTAATATAATAAATAAATATAAATCTTTATTAGATACGAGTGGGGGAGGAATCGTTTCCCAGTCTTATTTCAAAGCTAAAAATAGAGGACTTATCATACTGATATCCTTTTAATAATAAATGGACACCTCATACACTATTCATAAAACAGATAACATCCATCAGCAGAAAGTGAATAAAGCGCCCTCTATTTTTCTAATAACCTGAACTATTATCATCAGACTGTTCATCATCGCAGGTAGAATGCTTACGTTTACGAGATATTTCTTTAATAAGAGAAACTTCTTCGGCCTTGGTTTTTTCTTTTCGGAATTCGTATACTAAAGGATAAATAGTTTCTATGGCTCGTTGAACATCCAGCACACTTGGAGCTGAAATATTAAAAAATAAATGAATTTTTTTTTAAATATTGATATAAAGTATACAAAAAAAATTAAAGAGTTTAGTCTTCTTAAATTTTAAGGTAAGTGAAAGTAAAAACTTCAGATGATTGCTTTCATATCTTAAAGGATGACTTTATGATTTCTGATAGTGACATGGTACAGAATCATTATACCTCAGCCAATGCAAATCGTCTTTAATCGGTGATAATCTTAACTTATTACGAGAAGAGGATGTTATCAGAGATGAGTCCTGGGACCCCCACAGAACAATTACTTAAATGACCCATGTAAACTTTCAAAACTATTGATGAACCAATTCATGCGAACTACTTGGCCCAAAAACTTTGTTTAAAATATATATTTATGGCAATTTCATTATATCCAATAAAAAACAAGAAAGATTAGAGTAAACTGATAAAAGAACAAACATCTAATTTAAACAATGACTATAATTCTGGTTTTCATTAAGTTATGTTAATTTTTAAGAATTGTAGCCATGTCCTTGTAGTAGATAATAAATTAGATAAATGATTTGGGAAAAGAATTATCTCCGTTTTTACAGCACAATACTCTAAAAGGTTTAGATTCTAGCATTGTTGAAGCAGTGATGTTCCAAAGTTTGGGAAGAGAGACCCCCACAGTAATTTTTTCTTTGCACAATAAATCACTTCATAAAGACCTACAAATACCACGTGTGACTGACGTAATTAAAAAAATTTACACGACTTTCTAAGGCTAACTTATTGGACAACATAATCTTTTTGAATAGACGTTACTAACAGATAAATTACCACAGAATCCCACAAGGAGACTTGATATAGTTTTTCAATGAGGACGAGATATAACTATATATTTTTTTCATCCAATTTAACAAATTAAATAGAAATAATAATTAATTGAGGAACAACTTAATATCATAGAACCATTTATTTTTAGTACTTATATTTTAGGATTTTAATATTTATTAAATGACCACCAAAAGGCATTTAGCAAAAAATAAAAAAATAAATGAACTTACCTGTTACAGTAATACTTCCAGTTGAGAATATTTTTAGAGTAGCTTTTGGATTTTTCAGCTTATAAGTTACACCTGGATGTAATTCTGGTTCATATCTATAAATAAAAACTGATCAATTACTTGCAACTATATAATATTGATTTGGAGGACCATTTTTTTTTTTTTTAGTTTGGGGGTGCTCCAATATAAACAAACAGTCATGATTATATATAATTAAATGTGAGCTGTCATTTTGGCTTTTACAGCTTTGACTTTAGTTAGTTTTTTGGTCACTGAGAATCAGCATTTGGCTTAATTTCCTCATAGTTGGTCTTTTATTAAAGATGAATAGTTATAGAATAATAAAACATGAAGAAATATTAAAAAATAATTGGCTTAGGCTATGAAAAACACCAGTAAAGTCAATTTTTTCAACAAAAAAATATTCAAGTTACAAATCAAGCGTCGTTTGTAATTAAACGGCCTACAATAACACAAAACGTGCTGAAATAAACCATCTGGACAATATATTTCTCTTTCTAAAACGCTGATTATTTTTTAGAAATGTTTATTAATGCAATAATTTAATTGTAAAAAAAAAAAATTAAAATTAAAAAAAATAATGTATTTTTTTTTTTTTTTAATTTAACCTCCTTTATTCTATACGTAGGTCGTTTAAGAAGACCTCAATTGTAAAAATGATATAATTATAATAATAAAACTTAATTAAAAAATACTTTGCTAAATATCTTGATTTTTTTTTATTTGACGTTGCTATTTACCACTGTGTTTTGTATATTTACTGATTCTTAGAGGTAATTAAAAATTGTATATACTTCCCAGGAAATGAGTCATGTTAATACCTGTTTTATAAACTAAAATAATATATACCTAATCTGAACTATATATAATGAATAGCTACCGGGTTGTTTAGTGGATGTGGAGGGTTTCAGAAATGAGTCGTTTGTCATGGTTGAGAACTGTGGCAAGGATGGATTTTTTGTTGAAGTCAAATGAATGATTGAGGGAGAGAGAATGTTCGGATAATTTGGAAGCGGTAAAATTACGAGAGGATACAGAGGATGATACGAGAGGATGAAAAACAATTGGGGGTAGAACATGGAATACGGTAAACGATATGAGAGCGGTGTGAGAGAGGAACAGGATCTTTTAGGGATGTGTATAATTTAGAGAGTGTGTTGTGAGATTTGAATGCAAGTCTGTATCCTCCTAATATTCTGTATCCTCTTGTAATTTTACCGCTTCCAAATTATCCGAACATTCTCTCACCCTCAATCATTCATTTGACTTCGACAAAACATCCATCCTTGCCACAGTTCTCAACCATGACAAACGACTCATTTCTGAAACCCTCCACATCCAGCTTCAACCAAAGACAGTGAATCTAAAAACTGACAAACAGAACTTTTCTTTAGCCTACTCCCAAATTCTGAATTTATTAAAACATCCATAGTTATATTCCTTTCCTTTTTGCTGACAACTTCCATATATATATATATATATATATATATATATATATATATATATATATATATATATATATATGGGTGTGTGTATATGTGTATGTATATTTATACATATATATTTTTATTTCACTTTCTATTAATTTTCGTTCAATTTTCCATAATTTTTCTGAGTAATATATCTCTCGTACCTATTTACGCTTCCCGCGCTTTAGTTCAAGCTTCGTCGGATAACCGTTAGAGATGACGCCACCTACACATCTCTTCTCTCTCCCCCTCCCTTGCAAGGACTTTTATTCTCCCTGCAACACTTAAGGAGACAGGTAGTACTTCTTTCATTTCTTTCTTATTTCAGCTTCTCAATTTCTTCCCTCCTTCCTTTTCTCTGTTTTAAACTCTTTATTATATCATACATTGTCTGTACATCTTGATAGACTTTACAATATCTCAATTTTCTATCTAACTACTCCATTCTCAATGTTTTAATTTTACTATTTATTTTCATTTCTTATATATCTTCATATTTCTTTTTTATGTTTTACATTCTATTCTAAGATTCCCATTGTAACACTTATGTCATCCTTTTTGATTATGCCTACTTCATCATTCCACTCTTTGTAACGGTTATTATTATTTATCTCTTAGTTCTTAGTCATTATTCTAACAATTTCATTTTACTTTATATTTATTTTTTTTTTTACCATCACTACTTATGTTTCTCATACCTTGTTATCTGGTTATTTTCTTAGCCCTGATGAAGGCCTGAACTTCAGGTTGAAACGTCGGCATATGTAAAAATAAATATTATCATTTATTTTTGACTGACCACCCCAACTATTCTTCTCTTCATTAATTAATTTTTTAATTAATGATATATGAGTTTTACTAAACAACCCGGTAGCTATTCATTATATATAGTTCAGATTAGGTATATATTATTTTAGTTTATAAAACAGGTATTAACATGACTCATTTCCTGGGAAGTATATACAATTTTTAATTACCTCTAAGAATCAGTAAATATACAAAACACAGTGGTAAATAGCAACGTCAAATAAAAAAAAATCAAGATATTTAGCAAAGTATTTTTTAATTAAGTTTTATTATTATAATTATATCATTTTTACAATTGAGGTCTTCTTAAACGACCTACGTATAGAATAAAGGAGGTTAAATTAAAAAAAAAAAAAAATACATTATTTTTTTTAATTTTAATTTTTTTTTTTTACAATTAAATTATTGCATTAATAAACATTTCTAAAAAATAATCAGCGTTTTAGAAAGAGAAATATATTGTCCAGATGGTTTATTTCAGCACGTTTTGTGTTATTGTAGGCCGTTTAATTACAAACGACGCTTGATTTGTAACTTGAATATTTTTTTGTTGAAAAAATTGACTTTACTGGTGTTTTTCATAGCCTAAGCCAATTATTTTTTAATATTTCTTCATGTTTTATTATTCTATAACTATTCATCTTTAATAAAAGACCAACTATGAGGAAATTAAGCCAAATGCTGATTCTCAGTGACCAAAAAACTAACTAAAGTCAAAGTCGTCAATCCGCCATCTTTGGACGCCATTTTGGGGCAGTGCGTTCACTTTTTTTTTGTGGAAGCATTGGCTTTTTTTTAATAAATAGTTACAAGGAACACAACGATATGTAATTTATAGGGATGTGAGGAGGAGGGGGGGGGGGTGCACGGTAATGGGGTCTGGCCCACCGTGTATTTAGGACTTTGACGACCTGCAGCAACAGCGTGTCACTGGTAATTCTGTAGATTATGGTGTAGCGAACACCTAGATGAAAATACCAATTGGAATGCTGTTATGTTTACAATTTGTATACAATTTTGTGAATTTTTATGGGTATTACCATAAACCTATTTCCTTTCTCTTTCTTTGTGTCTAATGGGCAAATTTATGCTATCACAGAGATAAATATTCCTTTGTAAATCATGGATTGAAAATCAAAAATTGAACTTGCACCCGTGAAAATTCTAAACTTTCAACTGTATTTTTCCATAAATCTGAATTTTACATTTAACAAACTATGCCCCAGGTATAGTATGTGATGGAGGAAATAAATAGCTTCGTAATGAATAAAAGTGTAGGATAGATTCAATGCAGATGTAAATGGATTCAGAACAGAGATCTTTGATGATGACAAGGATATAGGTGTTGTGCAAATAAAAGGAGTGGTTTAAGAACATGTTCAGAATGTTTTAAAAAGAAATGTAAAATTTGAGTATAAAATGTCTTTTTGCATATTTGTTAATGCAAAAAAAGTAATTTTTTCATAGATGACATTATAATTATTTAATCTTTTTTTTTTTTGATAATATTAATAGTATTATTCTTTTAATTGAAGTATTGTTTAACTCTACGAAATAATCAAATAAATAATAATATCTATATTCAAAGTCTATCGTATCAGAATAAAATTTGTGAGAGAAGCAGTTTTCGAAAATACAGTATTCCTCAACATTTTCGGGTTTGATATCCACGAATTTCGTTCATCAACGAATAAAACGTTGTAAAAACAAACTAAATCGGAATAAAATTTTTTTATCTATAAACCAAAAAAGTAAAAATTTACTGAAAATTACATGAATTATAAGTGAAGGCAGTAAGTGTCATGCCAGCAAGATTTGGGATCGACCAAACAACACAGTATAAATTAACTTTTTGAATAAAACCTAAAATGTTATAACCTCATAAAAATATTCTATCAACCTAACCCCTCCTCTATTCTATGTGGTCAATGCCTTCCACATTTCACAGCCATTATTATATTGTTAACAGTTATTTATATTAATTTTAATTACTAAATGGAATTAAATGAAATTAGAACTGGACAATTTCTAAGCTAATATGCAAATTCCTTTCAAGTTTGGGTAAAATTGAACAAGCCGTTTTCAAACTATAGGCCTGTCAAATAATATATTTCCTGATCCGAAAGTGGAAGTCTTTTTTTTTTTATAATAGTGGATAGAATTTAACAAAATTGATACTTAATTAATTATCTATTAATAAATCTCTAACTTTCCTCCAAATTTCAGTCAAATCGAACTAGTGGTTTTAGTTTCGAGATATAGAAGTATCAGGAAAAACGTGTTTGAGTATATATAAGAGAAAGTAGAGGATGGAATTCAATAAAATCAATACAGAATCATTATTTTACCAAAATCCACATTTCTTTCAACTTCGAGCCAAATTGAACAGACCATTTCTGAAATATTGTCATATCTATGAAAATACATTTACGAGTGCATTTAAGTAGAAGTGCTGGATGGAATTTGAATGAGACCATCTAGACACCAAACAGCACAATCCTTGAAAAGTTTATGAAAATTGGATAAATGATAGTAGGTGATATGCCCGATACATCAATTGGACTATAGACAGATGCTGTACCAAATATGATCCTTGATATCTAAAACATAAAACGCAAGTGGAAATTTTCGATTCTGAGCACATTTTTTTTAAACTCTCGCATGAATACAATGCTTCCCTACCTTCGGTAGCGAGAAAGCAAAATGTTACAAACAACCCAAAATAACAATAATGGATAATAGCATAATAACCCCCTTTGGCTCTCATGGTATCCTGTTTGGATAATTATTGAAATGAGAGTTGAATAAACGATTTGAAATCTTAAAAATAACATAAGTTGAAATCAAATATATTGGAATTAAATATTAATAAATTATACATTTTTCAAAGAAATGTAAATATTTACTTACTCTGCTTCTCTGTGTTTCTCAGAAAACAAAGTTATTTTAATTGCAAAAGGCATGGAACAAGTCCCTAGAACATTAACAACTCTGTAGTTTGTAAAACGTGTCTTGAAACCAAGATGTTGAAGTCGTCTCGCAAATCTTCGGGCAGCAACATGAGACATTTCTTCAGAAGTAGCTCCTGTGCATGTCACTTTACCTGATGACCACATTGATGCTGTTGTATATGGTCTTCTTAACTTCATAGTGAGCATCTGCGAAGATAAAAAAAAGAAATATACAAATATGTTAATTATTAATATCAACATTAATTGTACATTTTAGTAGAACCTTAAATGAAGACAACAATAATTATAGATAAAACAAAACTGAGGCAAGTAATGTCACCTAGAAATAAACTATAGTAAATATAATTTTAAGGAAGTACTATATCATATCACCACTAATACTGCAAAAGGCCGTAAGGAACAATTTTCCATGTTTATTCTATTTGTGCTAAAGGTGACATTTTGTAACCTGCAACTAACTCCATGGCGCTACAGACCGGTGTGGTCCTTGGCCGCCTCAATGAGGATTCAATGATTCAATGAGGATTGCGGATTCTACTCTATCTTGCGCAGTCGCTTGCCAGTTGCGGGTATACAATAATTCTCTGACTTCCCGGATGACGGCGTCCTCCCATCTTAGACATAGTCTGCCTTTTTCTCTTGTTCTGCAGAGCTTCCCATCAAGCAACTTCCTTGGGACTTCCTCTTGTGACATTCTGGCCACATGGCCAGCCCAACGTAGTCGCCCAAGGTTCATACTCCTTAACACATCTGTCCCTCCATACAGATCATATAGATCCCTGTGTTAGTTCTTCTCCAATCATCACCGACCTTAATAGGTCCAAAGATACGCCGATATCTTTCAGATTACAATTTGTAATCTGCAATCACGGAACATAGCAGAAGGAAATAAAACATGAAATTATACTAATAAATTATAAAGATAATAAGTTTTTATGCTCTTTTGTAAAAAAAAGTAAATTATTACAAATAATCTTTTTCACTTTCAGTTTCAATATGTATAACTGAATGATAAAAATAAAAATTTATTTATTTATCATATATTTATTTTTTACATAAGAACATATTATGAATACTATTTGAAATATTAGAACCATATAAAAAGCAAAAACATCTTGAATAAAAACCATAAAAAGTTCATCTCTGAAATTGGAATAACTTAATTCAAAGGAAAATTAATTAATTAACAAAAAAAAAGGCAAAATTTGAGACTCTCATAAAAAAATTTAATAGAAGGGCTTGGAGATCTAATACTTTATTAGGAACTAATGCTTCAAGACCAAGTTTTTCCACTTTAATGAAATTAATTAATTAAGATTATCCACTTTATAAGAGGCCAGGTCTGCACCAGAAGGATTTCCAGACCCAAGATTTGATCCACAGCTGATGCGATAGAATATAGAATCATAATAAAATTATCTGCCACAACTGGACTCCAATCTGAACCATTAGAACTAAAAGTACAATACCTTGCTCACTGAACTAGCCCAACCCCAACTGATGATCCTCATGTACCATAAAGTTGAGAAATTTTAACCAGAAAGTCATCATTCAAATTTTAAAAAAATCTGGTGCGTGCAACACACAACTTTCACTTACTGCTCTACTTGGAATAGAAATTATTTTCTGACAATGTTGGGCTGTTATAAAATTTTTGAAGTGCATTTTAAATGGAGCTAAAGCTTAAAAATAACAAATCATTAAGACCATTAATATCACAAAAAGTCTATTTATTATATCGACTGTAAGGAATAAAAATCTAGTTACTCCATCTGCTTTAATAAACCATACAACTTCAGTCTCTGAGTCTTTCGGTTCACAGAATGACTAACTCCAATTTCAACATTTTCAAGTAATGTCATTTTAATGATATTTCTAGTTTGAAAAGTTGTATCTATACAGACTGCAAGTAAGTTGATACCAGAGTAGATGATTGCAGTGTTGAAATATAAAATTGTGAATAAAGGTATAAATTTTGCCACTGGAAACATCACTAAAATTAATAATAAAGAATGTTGAAATTGGAGTTAGTCATTCTGTCAACTGAAAGGCTTGAAATTAGTTATTTAAGGTATGTATATGCCTACGATGTTATAGCAACTTTTTTTTATAAAAATTAGCAAACCGAAATGAAATGGCATTTTATAAAACCGATTTTACATATTTTTTTTTCAAAAACGACTAATGATTTTTATTAAACTTGTTATATCAAAGTATAATTAAACATTTTTAATATCATGTAGGCCTTATCCTGATTGATGCAGTCCAACAGGATTTAAATGCCATGTTTTTAACATGAATTCCTCTAAAGTACCTTTATGGTAAGGTTTATCTGAAATAAATGTATCTCCTGATCAGTATTAATAAGAAATGATTAAATATAAACTCAAAAAGTATTAGATAATTTACAGGAGAAATATAGTAGACTAATTTTCCCCGGGTTGAAATTTTTTTATAGAATAAAGATAATGTATTTATTATAAGCTATAATGATAATGCATTAAAAGATAACATTGTACATAAGAAGTGTAAAAGGTATAGAATTAGATATTCTACTATATAAACAAAAGGTATTAAAAAGTCTAACTAGGAAATTATGCCCTTACATAAACATAAAATAATAAACTTTATTAGGAAATACGTAAACAAGTGTTTAAATTTTAATGATTCATCCAAGCCAAAATGATTTGTTAAAAGAAATAAAATTTTAATACGTATTAGCTGAAGTGCTTTCCTAGTCCTTTCTTAGCTATTATAAAACAGCACTGATTTACAAAACAATACACTATAATATAAGAAAGAAAATTAGTTTCCTTACTAGAAAACATGTGTTTAAGAATTTAATAAATAAATATAGGCATACACTCCAGTAACTAAAAATTCTGATTAAGAAACGAAACCAAAATATTAATCTTTCATAAGAATATAAATTTCAAAATATCTTTATATTAACAAAACAAAGCAATGCCAAGAAATCTATTGAGGGGGAACTAACAATGAATGAAACTGCATAATAAATAATAATGAATCCAAAAGATAAAAATATTGAACCATGTAATATAAGTGTGGCCATCACCTTAACCTGCTTCATGTGTCCTCAAAACCTCAAAATATTGTCTTATTAGTCAAAGTTATGTATAAAAAATCAATTAACTAGATCTAGTAATTAGTATTATCAGTAAGTTGTGTTTCAATTCTAGTTAAAAGGTGATTTAATGAATTATAATAATTAAAAGACCTTAATTGAAACAAACAATTAAATAACAAATTAACATTAAACTACAAACTCTTTTAATCCTTACCCCATTTTCCCTTCGATATTCAACATGACAACCAGTCAAAGCTATCTGGCGAAGATTAAGATGACACCTTACACTAAAACTACACACCACATTATTTATTACAATGTCAACTTCAGGTTCATCACTGATTACCACTGGCAAAACTGCATTGTTCTGGTATTCTTCCTGAAAGTCATTAGAGCAAACTTGTTCTGATTTCATCTGACAGAGAGCTTCATTACTAGCAGGCATTTCATGAGTAACACCACCTGAGAGTTTGTTCATTTCCAAAGCACTATAACTTCCATTTTGAAGAGGTTTCATTCCGTTTCCTTGTAATATTGTAGCCATTACCTCCAAAAGTTTTAGGAACCTCTGAAACATGATTTACAAAATGCATTATGAAAACAATAATAAGGATAAATATATTATTATTTTGGTTAAATTAGTTTAAATTATTCAACATTTTACCAGCAATACAATACAAATGTTCACAAAAATTTGAATTATTCACAAAAAGGCATTGTTTTGATTATTACATCTAAAACTGAACATTCATCCGATAGTACATTGTAAGGGCTTTGAACGTGAATTACTTACAACTGTCAGCGAAACGCGTTACTAATGACATTTGATCATAGTTTCAAAAAATGAATTAAAAGTGTGCAAGGATGTCCACTAGAATCATTCAGAACAATTAGAATGAAGTCAACACATCTCTTGATCTCAGCCAGAAAGCTACACCAGCTCCCTCTACAGGTCAATTATCTGTTGTAATTTTTCTGGAGCAGGAAAGTCCAGAACAAATTTTCCGAAATAAAACAATAATAATTAAAATTAAAATTAAAAACTATTCTTGCTAACTTTATCAGAAAGTAAATATTGATATTAAAAAAAAAAAAATAATATCTAGGAATTGATAACCTCTCCTAGCTTACAGTGAAACGAATTTATAACCTTACAATTTTGCAACCGTACCCTCTGATTCTAAACTGATTTAATTTTCTGCTTAATGATATAGTGTAGTATGCTCTATATTTTTGATTTCCTAAATATAGTATATGAATATACTGCCTAACCTTAAAGGTACTATTAAACTTATTTTTTGTTTTTAGTCTATAATTTTTACCTGATTCCTATCATATTTTTGAATTGTTTTTTAATGATATTTATTTAATGCTAGATTTTATTTGAAGGTGTTTAAAGTATGGAACTGCAAGCACATTTAAAGGTTATAGAAGAACTTATAAAGCCTTTATCAGGTATTAGTTTTTTTATTATTTTAATTGTTTTCTTATGGTTATTGTTAAATATTCTTACTTATATTATGTTTTATATGTTAAAGAGCAAGTTTCATCTTTAGAGGAAGCATTGCTAGTTAAAACTGCAAAAGAAGATGTTAATTCTTTTGAAGGGCTGAAATATATTAATCTGTTGCACAAGAAGTTTAATTTGCCTATTAGTTCTCCTTGGTGATTTATTTTTACCTCTTCAATCACTGTTTAGAAATCCTTCAATCTCAGATGATTTTGTTTTAACCATGTTTGTTGTTCTAGGGTCAATTTTATACAGATCATTCTTTATAGATTACATGAAATAAAAATTTTATACGGCAAAGATAATGAATTATTATTAAGTTTGCAGCAAATGAAGTTATTAAAAACATCTGTTGAAATGATTTCATGTATAGGTATTTTACCGTACATTATTAATGGTATAGGAATTCCATTAGAAAAGAAAATATCCAACAGATTTATTTTACATTCAAAAAGTCAGGAGTTAGAAGAGGTAATTTATTTTTTTCTTCAAACTTAAATCCTAATAATTTTTAACATTAACAATTTGTTATTCATTTTTCATGTTATTTATTTATTTTTTATATCTTGTCTCAAAATTATTAAAATCATCAGGTGAGGTCTGAATTTGTTACTCTAATCTAGAATTTCTGTTAGTTTTATTCAGGAGAGATAATGATTTTTATTTTGTAGCAGATCCGTTTAATAGATTTTGGGACTGCTGTACCATGTAAATATCACTCCACTTTCATGGTTGGCACATAATCTAATGATCACACCATAGATGGAATCTCCAGAATGGTAGAGTGTACTATTCGGAGACTTATCGTTTGCTAAGGCTCCATCCTCAACTGAAAACAACCTTTTGTGGGTTTATCGCTTTCTATCCCTGAGTGGACATAGTATTTAAGAAACAAATTTATTTATTTTGAAGGGGGCTGGGTGGCCGAATAGGCTAACGAATCTGCACAGCACCACCGTTGCGCGGATAAATAGAGTACGCGTCCCGGTGCAAGGGGTGTCTTTTAAATCCCCTCTCTCATCCCCTGGCCCGGGAAAACTCCGTATAGCCTTAAAGGCGAGGAAGGGGAGGATCCAAAAAAAGAAATTTATTTTGCAAGCCAATAATCATCAATTTTTAACTATAAGAAAACAAATTAGCTCTTGTACACATGCTATCTGGAATATTTTAGTTATCAAATTATTTGCATTCCACAAACAAAAAGTTGGATGCTCTTGTAACCATATGTCATAGGATCTTCAAGCTATGTAATATAGAGAGACACCCTTCATGCTAATACCTGCACCATCTCATGTGTACCTACCCACAGCTGTTCTGTGTATTGTTGCCATTCTGTTCTTTTGATTTTGTGAGAGGTTATGATATCAGGTAGGGGATATGATAGCATGAGCTCTGTCACTGTTTCCTCTAAGAAGGATAGCCTGGTCAAAACCTTAAGATTTATGAGAGAAAGATTATTTGAAAGATGGGAAAAAATAACCAACCAGAAGATTTATAATCTATGGTGAGCAAAATATTGTCTCAATTATGAGACAAGCGAGATTAAGGTGGGTTGGTAATGGAGCAAGGAGGAATGAGGATTAGATCCCAAAGAAACTGCTGATGGAAGTCATCCATCAACAAAGAAGTGTCAGCATGCCTAGACTTTGTTGGATTGACTGTGGCTAGAGTTGCAAGGAGCCTTGGAATCAACAACTGGGTGGTAGGAACATTAAACACAGACTCCTGGCAGTGGCTTATTGAGTAGATCTAGACATAGTAATGCATTTTAGCCTCACAGAAAATAAGTCAGTAGCTTAATAAATTAACTACTTATACTCAAAGTAATATTTTTCATTGCAAATCTTCATGCACCGAGTGCCTGAAACATTATTTTCAAGCATTGGTTTGCAATTTTTATTTAGATTTTTCTATCTTACAGGTATAATAAAATTTGATGAATTAATTGCACAGGTATAAACATTATAAATTTTGTATTATGAGTATCAAGTATTAGAAGTATTAAGATTGATATAAGAAATATTCAGGAAACAGTGGAATAAAAAAAGAATGAATAAAATAGCTTAATTAATATTTTCCTAGTTCTGATAAATGTTTCATTTTTTATATATATAAATAAAATTCTTTTATTTATTTAATTTTTAGGTATTGTATCTGTTGAATTGTTCTGTTCTTGGGCTTATGAGTCTTTATGAATCAGAATTATATCGAACTTTAATTACATCTAAACATTTAGGAGATCTACTTGCTGCAAATTTCCAACTTATCATAGAAAAGCAAGCTGTTGATTCAAAGTTATGTTCGACATTTTTAAAAATGTTAATTGAAGATACCTATCAGCCACTCGTGATACAAGAGCTAATGATAATGCTTGGAAATAAGGTTTGTTAATTTTTTTTTTAATGGTGTATTCAACAAATGTTCAACCTAAATATATTACCATTCTTATCTAAAAATGTTTTCTGTATTTAGTAATCACAATTATTGCATTTTGTTATATTACTTATTGTATTTTTTTTATTGTTACAAATGACATCAAGATTTGTCAGAAAATTCTATTCTGGTCAATATACATTTTTAACGCTTTGACTGTGGGAGCTCATCCGAGTATTTCTACAAGATGGAGGGTCACAAAATCCAAAAAGACATATTTTGAGTCAATCTGCAAGATCTTAGCTTTCAAAAATGCATTTTAATCTTTTTACTTAACTTGGTCTTGTGCAGCAGCTCACCAGTTGCAGATATTTAGTAGATTATGGGCATCTCTGGTAGCAGTGGCCTTTCATCAAAGCAGACACCTTCCTCCTCCTCCAGTATGCATGCAACTTAACCAATCCACCACAATGCTCTTACCATGATATACCTCATTAGGTCCACCTTGCCATAGAGTTGACAAAGTTCCCTATTCGTTCTCCACCTTCAGTCCTCTTCGACCATTCCTGACTCCAATATTCATTGAAGAATCTTTTCAATATAAGAATCTCCCCCATTCTCACATCTTCACATTTCCATGTCCTCCCCAGCCTCTGCCAACTTGAGAAAAGATTCTTTCAAGAACTCAAAGGACCTTGCAGAAATATCATTGAAGAACAATTTTACTAGCGGGTGCACATTATGTCACATGAGTACAATGGTGCGTGCAGTTAGGGACCTCTGTCTTAGAGACATATATTTGTATCATTTGGTGGAATGACTCATACTTATACGTATTGTTAAACTTATAGGATATTCCAAGGAAGCTATATCGTTGGATAAGTGATATCTTAAGTGATAGACTAACATCTGAAGGTGGCCTTCTTGCAATGTTACGTGCAATTCTGGATTTAACTGGAAATTCCACAGATAACCCACGATATTGGGAACATGTTTCTGTATTAGCTAAAATTTTAATAGCTCCAAAGCATTCTTCTCTATATCCTCAGGTATGTAAAATCTATGGAACTACATTAATTAATTAATAAGTACATCTAAAATCTGATTTGATTTTGGAATTTTGAATCAAATGACTTAATTTAAAAGTTCTAGGTCTTATATATATATATATAATCTATAGTCTTGGAAAGCTTTATTTTATTGTTTAGAAGGTACTATGGAAGTAAATCTAATTTTTTAAACTTAAATATCTATTTTATACTTATTTTTGGCAATTAAAAACTGATTAGCAAACAGAGCTACATGGAACAATTTGATTAATACATACATTTAAAAATTAAACAAATATAAAAGAAGTCTAACTAGCCAAAGGAAGTGATATGTATGCCTTTCTTTTTTTTTTTTTTTTTTTGTAAAAGCTTTCTGGAATTCATATAATTCAATACAGAGGATTCTCAACAAAAATACTTATCAGACAAAATACCAGAGAAACTTAAATTAAGCTTAAGAACATTATTGTTTCATTAGGATACCCATGTTTAATTTACTTATTAACCTTTTAGTAAAATTCAATAGAAAGAGCAGCATCTTCAGTCAATTGATCAAAAATATTTTTAATCGTTAACTATTGTAATAAAGTCGTGAAATAAGAAATATATAATAATATATTATCTATTTATTTTTTCACAATCAGCTTACAATAACAGATATATTTATTTTTAAATACATAAAATTGTGAATTTAGTCTATGCGAACAATTGTTAATATTTCACTTTAAGACACCATTTTTATCATTTCAAAAAAAAAAATATATATATATATATGGTTTCGCTACATTTTATTATAACCTACGGAATTCATCAACATACATCGTATAAGTTTTTGTGGGACAGTATCAACATTTATATAAAAATATAGTTAATTTGGTGAACAACTTGCATAATCAGTCATCTTGAATTCAGTTTTAGGTCAATACGCTGCACATTTTGAGTCATATATATCTCATCTCATCAAATTTTCAGCCATCAGTTTTCTCATTAAATGAAAAAAATTCACCACTTTGATTTAAATTTTCTTGTATTAAGGCTTTCAAGCGACTGACCGGAGTTGTGTATTCAGGCGAAGATTATCTATAATTTAAAATGGTTTCTAGCTGTAAGTCCTTCCGTTAAATGAAACCGGCGGTAGCTCCTAGTCTAGAGGGCCATTGTATATAGTTAGATTGCAGTCTCTAATAAAGCACACCATTTTCATTCACGCCATTCTCTAATAAGAGTCCATTTTCAGTTTTAATTATTTAATTTTTTTTTTGTTCTTATTGGGTTGGTAAATAAGTCCTTTCAGATTTTCAGGATGAAGTAAAACTCAATGTATCATAGACATAAAATTTATTTTTATCTGCAATAGATTTACCATTATTTAATATGACTTTTTCCATCTTTCCATTAACTGCATAATGCCATGTTCATAGAATGTCAAGAGTTTACTGTTAAAAAACTAATCCAAGTGGTTTTTGATGTCATCTTCCTTTTGGAATTTCTTTGCATTCATGGAGTTGTGCAAAGAACAGAATAAGTGGTAGTCACTTGGAGCTAGGTCTGGTGAATAGGGAGGGTGGGGCAAAAGGTCCAATCCAAGGCTCAATAATTTATTACGAGTGACCAATGAGGTGTGGGGTCTAGTGTTGTCTTGGTGGAACACAACACCCTTCCGATTTGCTAGTTCTAGACGTTTATTTTTAATTGATTGATCCAATTTTATCAGTTGTGAGCAGTATAGAGTCGAATCAATTGTTTATCCTGATGGCAATAGCTCATAAAAAATAATACCCTTGAAATCGCACCATTTGGTAAGCATTATTTTCTTTGGATGAAATCCAGTTTTTGACATTCTTCTAGGAGTCTCACTACTAGGTCTCCAAGATTTTCTACGGACTACATTATCCTAAAATATCCATTTTTCATCTCCTGTTACCAACCTTTTCAAAAATAGGTCGTTTTGTTGCTGTTTCCGTAGTGAATCACTAACAGAAATGCGTGTTGCCTAGTTCACTTCGGTTAGAGAGTGAGGGACCCAAACATTAAGCTGGGAAACATAGTCGAGCTTGTGCAAATGGTTTTCTACACTTGTGTGCGACGTATTTAGGGCCAATATTAGGGCAATCTCTCGCTCTGATTGGATGGGATTTTGATCAACAATGGCCTTAACATTGCTTGTTTTAATTTCATGTGGGCGATCAGATCATTTATCTCAAAATTTCCTGAAAGAAATAAGAATCCACCTTAATTCATCAGATAAGAAGTGTATCATAGTGACATAAAAATAAACAGAAAAACCGAAAGGACTTATGTGCCAACCCAATATATACTACTTATGATTGCTATAATTTTTTGAGGTTATTTTATATCTTTTCTTCCAATTGTTTTGATGTATTGATGATATTTTTTTTTAATTTCAGTTATTGGAATTGTTGAAAGGAGAAAACAGTGAATATAGGCAAGTTGCTGTCATGAGTATAAAATTATTATCAGAAAGAAATCCTGAAGCTTGTAATGAATGCTTTGTTACACCATTGTTACAACCTATTATTAGACCTGCTACTGAACATGAAATGGGATTATCATTGGAAGCTATTCATTGTTGTTGTGGAATTTCCGCATCTTGGTCTGTTTCCCCGAATGTTTTCAAACGTGGGTTCATAAATTTTTTTAAACTCTACTCAAAGACTAGACTAAGTGTTTCTTACTTGAAACCAAAAATATCAGACATTGCCTATTGTATTTTGGCTGATGAGAAGACAAATCTTGAGAAAATATTTGATGATGCAGTATTTAAAAATTTAAGTGTAATCTACCAACTTGGGTCAGAAGGTGGTGTGTACACTGATAGTGGTTCTGATGACAGTGATCCAAATGATGTAGCTGATTCTATTTTATATTTAGTGCTATCGTTTGGTAACACCTTGGTAAAATTTAAATTTTTTTTAATGCTTCTTGAATCAATAATAGATAATCAGGAATTAATAAAGCAGCTTATTTATGCTAAACTTCTTGCAGAAATATGTAATGATTCTGATGTTCAAAAATCTTTGGGAGAAAATCCTTCTTGTATTATACCATTCACAAAAGGTCTAATAGAAGGACATCAACAGTTTGGCGATGATATAGTTTGCTTAGGACTTATGATTTTAGGTATTATTGTATATTCACCTTCTAAAGAGAAACCTGTGGATTGGAATGTTTTCAAATGTTTAGTTGAGCCATTGAAGAATTTAAAATCTGCGAACAGTGAAACTAATGTTTTGGCTAACGAATTATATGAATTAATTTTATCTCATGGAGTTGTAAAGAAAAATAAAGAGAATATTGAAAAAGTGCATACAAATTTATCAAAAGCTTTAGAAGAGTCTGTAGATGCTTTACTACCAGTAAGGGCACATGGTTTGAAGGAACTTGGTAAACTCATAAAAGCTAAAGACCAAGAGGCACTTAAACAAAAGGATACAATTTTTTTTATCTTCAAAGTACGTTGTTTGAATAAGTATTAATTTGATTTTAATAACAAAAATCTTCTAAATTATTAATTATAAATCTTTTGCTGCCATTACTACACCATATTTTACTAGCACAAATCCTTTAATTGAAATATATATATATATATAAATATAGTTTGGTTTTTTGTATATAGAATGTTTACCTTATATTTTTTTTACATTATTTCTTTTTTTCGATTGATTTTATTTTGGCCAGATGTGATCTTTTAATTTTGTTCTATTTTGTTATTCTCAAGGGACTGTGTCCCAGAATAAAATTATTTTTCTATCTATCTAAATCTTAATTTGATTTTGATTTCCTACTTTATTTGTAGGAGAATCTTAAGGATGACGATTCTTATTTATATCTGAGTGCTGTTGAAGGTTTAACATCCTTGGCCTCTTCTTTTCCTGACGAAGTTCTAATTGCACTTATAGAAGAATACATGTCATCCAAGCATTGTACTGAAAATCGACTTAAGGTTGGGGAAGTACTTGTGAAACTTGGAAGAATTCTTAGTAAGTAATAGTACTTTTAATTTTTTGAATAGCAAACTGAATTTAAAATTTGTTATGATTTTGTTATACAATCTCAAATAAGATAAAATTTACTTTATTTATCCTATATGGGTAATTCTATCTAATAGGCATCCAAAGACAAAAAAAAGTGAGTTAGAGGACCCTTTGAAATAACTTATTAGTGAACTAGAGATACCATTCAATGATTTTTTAGAACAATTTTGAGCTCAACTCCAAATTCCTCAAATGAAATTGTGATGGTAATAAAAGGAATTGAAAAATAGTAATGAACTTAGAAAGCCTGCAAGGTAAAACTATTGTCCTTTGTGATGCTTGATGAAACTTTTATGTAATAAGTTGCCTCCTAATTTATACAATAAATTGTACTTGTAACAGTTAGCTAATGGGACTCTTATCAATTTTACTGATCCGTTTCTTTTATTTTTCAATGAAACATAAAACTTGTTGATATGTGTGGTTTATAATTTGAAATAAATATCAATGGAAAATAAATATTTCCATGGAAACCAAATAGAATTTAGAAAACTTCAAAATGTATTTACAACTTGACAAACCAAAAATATATAATACAGAGAATTGTCTTACTTTGTATTAATAGTTGTTAGTTTTTAATTATAATTAAAGTTTGTAACAGGTAGGATTCTAAGAGAAGTATTTTTGCGAAATAAACTGAAGAAGCATTTTTGTTTATTTATATTACATCCTACCTTGCCTAATGGGCTATACGGGCATTTGCAGTAGTGGGGTGTTATGCATGACTGCATAACAACACACTACTGCAAGGGAACAGTTTAAAAGTTTTTATCTTCCTTGACTTCTGATCAAAGGTGACCGTCTTCCGGCAGTCTTCTTGGTGGTGGTCCTCTTCTCCGTGGTCAAGTATTGAAGTGGGCTGGACCCACTGCCTATCCAGCCATAAATAAATTTCTTGGACCGTGGGAAGTTCTCGTTACTTACCAACTGAGGAAGTTCATCCTCTGTTAGGACATAAATTCCCGTGGTTCTCATCATTGTTGCCCTTATTCCTTCGAATGCTGTTTAGTTTGGTAGTACAGTATATGCTGGAACTATAGACCATGTGCTCGACAGTCTCCAGAACTCCAAAAGTGAGACATTGGGGATCTATGTCATGGCCAAAACCATGTAGCTTAGCTCGAAAACCCCTCATGCCCCATGAGGAATTGTGAAACCGAATAGTCTAGGAGGACCCATTGTGCATTTAGCTGCGATTGTACGGTGGGGAGGTATTTCCTTTAGAGTACTCCCTTTCGGGATAGCCACCCACCGATGGCTCCATCCCTAAATCATATCCTCCTGGATTATCTTCAGCCAGTTGTTGGGACTTTCTACAATCCTCATCCGTAGATTTTGTGGAACTCCTGCCAAGCCTTCTTTCTTGAACTTTTGTTTAGACACATCTTCTCGCAGGAGGAGGTCGAGAGGTACCACCCCTGCTAGGACCTGCACTGCTTCATGTGACATCCTAAATGCTCTGGTGAGACGCAACAGGGCCATCCTCTGGATCGACGCCAACCTTTTTCACTGTCGCTGTGTGAGGTTCCTTTACCAAGAGGGAGATGCATACCTCAAGATGACCAGTATAACGCCTTTATACGTCGTCATTATTGTTGGGTATCTGAGGCCCCAGAATGCACCCCTGACATGACTGAGTTCAAGGCTTGGGTCACCTTAGTTGCTAGATAACCCAAGTGAGATGTTATATTTAGGCCTTTTCCTAACTTTACACCAAGGTATGTTACCACCTGACTTGGGCGTATTATTTGACCTTTTATATCCATGCTGTGGTGTGCTCTATCAGTTGTGCCCTTCAAGAGGATGGTTTGCGTCTTTTCAGCTCATTTTCTTTCCCTCACACCATCTGGTTACAAGGCTGCGGCTACTTTGATCCCCACCCTGCTGTTCGATGCCACCATAGCAGCTGTGTTCTCAACTTAGGCAGTGGCAAGGAACCGCTCATTTTCAAACACTCTGCAACTCATCAAAAACCAGCTTCCATAGAGCAGGACCAAGTACTGATCCCTGAGGGCATCCCCTCTCTACGGAAGCTTCTATCTCATAATAGTAATAGCTGCCTTTGATGTTCACTCGCCTTTCCTGAAGATAGCTCCTTACGAGGGCATATAGATTGCTGAGAGCTTCGTATTTTTTCAGTTGCTGAAGTACGCAGGACCACCATAAACTATCAAAGGTGGAGGATATGACGTATCACTCCGCCCTTTCTTCAACATCTCTGCGGACTCTCAGCAGAGCATCAGCCGTTCCTCTGCCTCTGGTAGAGCCGTATTGTCGTGGATAACGTAACCTGGTCATCATGAACTGAAGAAGCAATCACAATATATTATTGATATCTTTTCAATTAACCTATTTTCAATATGTAATTATTATTACAACTGTTCCATTGTTACTCTCCCTCTCCGCTGGCAGTGTCTGTCCACGGTCTGAAAGCAGGATCATTTGAGGAAGAATTATACGAAGAAGATGTTAATTTTTTGTTCTATATATTTTGAGGGTCTTTTCCTTGGAATGTGGTAAGTCAAGATGAGTGCCATCGAACTAGGACTAGGCCGTTTCTTCTTGGATCCGTTATTTCATATAATGCTTCCCAACCTTCTTTTTATGACATAGGAACAGTCCTGTCATGGTAACAACTTGCTTGTTACTTCTTTGTTTGAATAACTCAATTGGTGAGTATTTACCCACACATATTGTCTTGGAAGGTATTCGGTTCCTTCTCGTCTTTTTCGGTTGGCGTAACTGTTCTGCCTGTTTTGAGATTTGATTGTTTTTGTTCTTGCCATTTTGAGAGTGTGAAGTCATGTAGAAAAGGAGTAAATTCAGGAAGGAATGTACCTTTTGCTTGGATAATTCACAGGTCATGTTCTATTTCAATGAGTGATCTTAACTCGCATCCAAAAGTTAAGTTTGTGATTGTAAAACCTGTACTCTCATGTTTGGTAGAGTTCATAGCATATCTGATTGCTGGGAGTTTAGAATCCCATTTGTTATGATGGTTTTTCACTTGTATTGCTAACTGTGTTTTTAAGTCTCTGTTCAGTCGTTCGACAGGATTGGCTTCTGGATGATGAAGTTTTGTGAATTTATTATGCACAAAATGGAACAAACTTGTTTCATCAGCCTGCTGATAAATTGTGTTCTGTTATCTGAGATGATTTCACGTAGCAGGCCATATCTAAGAAATATCTCTTTAATGAGAGTTTTTGCACATTCAGCTGATGTAGCATCTTTTAGCGGGAACAACTCGATCCAACGTGAAGCCATATCTTCTGTTACAAGGATCCATTTTTTTTTCCAGAATTTGTTGTCGGTAAAGGTCCAAAGAGGTCGATTGCCAGTGTTTCGAACCGGTCTGCCGATAGCCTAGTGTGAATGAGACCCTGAGAGGTTTCTGATGAGTAGGTTTGAAACGTTGACACTCCACAGAATCTTTATGTATTCGGTGAGGAATCTTCTCATGCCAGGCCAATATAACTTGGTACTTATTTTTTCCAAGCCATAGTCTCCTGCCGTATGTGAGTCGTGATATTCTGCCATGATATTTTTCTTATAGCTTTCAGGAACTACGTGTTAAGCTTCATCAGTTTTGCTTGATGGGTTGTATCGATAAAGAATACCATTGGACATAAAGTATCTTTTGTCTGACCAAGTATCCTTTGTGACAAATGATGCTGTTTCTAATTCTCTTATTAGCTTCGCTTTTTATTAGGTTATTAGCTTTTTTTATCAAGGCAAGTGATTTTCGAGGTAATGTTGCTATAATAGTTTGAGCCCGCTGTATGTCTTGCAAGTGAAGAGCCCACCTTGCAAGTCTTCCTGAAGGAGATCTTAAGCTCATTTTAGCAGAGAAAATAAAATCTATGCCTAATATGGTTTGAGTGTTCTGATTATCATTAGAGTATAAAATTTTGTTTTACTTTATTACCTTTAATGTTTAGTTCGACTTCAAATGTTAATGCCTCGTGAAGTTTTGTTGAGCCATCAGCAAGTGTGAAGGATAGAGTCTCGGAGTTTTTCTTTAGACCGCTTGGAAGTTGAGAAAACATTTAGCATTCGTGATGCTTCTTGTGGCGTGTGTCGATCAGGGCAGTTTCTTTTAGATTGACGATATTAATGTTTAATAGCGGACATAATCTATAAGAAGAGCTGGCAGCAGTAATATCAACTCCTTTGTTCATTGTGATAGCATTGTTGTAATTAGTTGAATCTGAAGCATCATCTGCGCTGGTGAACTCATATATCTCTTAGTTGATGGGGTTATCAATATCAAGGGCGTGTTGCGTAAATTTTGTCAACTGCTTTCGGCATTCTTTGTAACCATGTCCAAACTTGTGGCAGAAGTTCGAGTTGGAATCGTGATTATTTTTGGTTGTGATTTTGTTCTTAGATTCATGTAATTCAAGAATTTTTGAGCGATTAATAAGGCTTCGTAAACTGTCCATTGACTCCCTCGGAAATTGTTGAATTACTTGAGGATGTAATAGAGCGTCAAGAACATCAATTTGCATTTTGACACTAATACTGTATGAAAGTAAAGATACGTCTTTTTGGAATTAAAAAATATATTGTGATGTTTTATTTGAGTCAGTCTGTGGTTTTGAAAAAATCTGACGAAACGTTAAATAAGGAGGCTGGAGTACTTTAAATGTTTCTTTGAATAACGTAATTGTTTAAGACCGAAATGTTATAGAATTTGAGTTACCTTGGTACCTGTCAGCAGCTATACCGGATAAAAGATGTGGTAGACCAGCAAGTGCACTGGTTTCTTCAACATTCTTGTCTCTGTTATATAGTTCAATACCTGATATGAACCGACCCACGTCTGAGAGTCCATCAAAACGAAATGGAAAATCTGAAATGGAAAAATTCCTTTCAGGCGATTCGCTTCACTAATGCTTTTAATAGCTTCATAAGTGATTGTCGCAGTTAATGAAAGTATCTCTTTGAGGCTGTTTTCGGTGAGGTAGTACGATTTCTGAGACTGTCTTTTTAGGTGCCATATTGACTATCGTTTGTACTTCTTTCCTTAGTTGGACGCCATGTAACAGGTAGAGTTCTAAGAGAAGTATTTATGTGAAATAAACTGAAGAAGCAATCACAATATATTATTGATTTATTTTCAATTAACCTATTTTCAATATGTAATTATTATTACAACTATTCCATTGTTACAAGTAGTATTATTAGTGTTTATTAACTTAAAAAAAAATTATAATTTTTTCTAAAAGTAGGGTGATAATTAAAAGTTGTGTGGTGCCCCACATCAGATTTTTTTTCTTCTACTAATTTTTAAACATTTCTTACCATAAGATGTGTAGGTAGGTAGGGTAGAAGTTTTAGGGCGATAAATTACTAAATGATTACACCCGTTAAGATAAGATTTGTAAAGCCTTGCATAACTGTTAAAAAATTATTTTAAATTGTACTTTATTTATGTTATAGATGAAATGGCAGCAGTCTATAAGAAAGAACTTATATCATGTTTCTTAATTGGATGTCGTGATGAAGATGAGCTAATGAGAGCTTCTAGTCTTTCAAATTTAGGAGAACTTTGCAAAATATTGTCTTTTAGAATTACATCATACCTGATAGAGGTAACAAGATAACAATAATTAAGTATTAAATGTTTTTTTTTAATGTAGATAAGGATCATATTATCAGATGAATAAAATCTTTAGTAGAAGGAATAGGGTAGAGTATTAAGTAAGCAACATAGGAAATAAAGTGGTGATTTAGAAAAGCTTAAAGAAAGTGAAAGAAAGAAAAATAGAATATATGAATCATGAAAGATAAACATGTCAGCACATTTTGGCCTAGCTTTGGTCATCATCAGACTGAGAGTAATACTCAATGACCCACAATTATTTTGGCAGTTTTCCTCCGCTGTTTAATTTTTTACTGACGTTTTCTTTTCTTATCACCTCTCCATGTTTGTGTAAGTTCTCAAAGTTACTTCTAAAAATCATTTAGCAGCTTAGAAAGTCCTCTGGTATTCAGTTTTTTGGATACTTTCTCCTTGTCTTGCTTTGCTCAACACATTGGCTTGATATTTTCTTTGGTTCCATTTCAGTGATATTCTCTGTGATTTGATCCATTTTCATTACATGTTTATGTGACACTTAGCTCAAAAGCTTTATTTTTTAAAAAATAATTGCTTGAAACCATCCCAATGTGGTTTTAATCATTGAGAATTATTTTCACCATTAAATTGGTAACTCATTACCCACTCATTTACACAAGGGTATATATTATACAAAAAGTTGGGATGTAATAATGCTATTTATCATTAGTTAATTAATAGTAATTTACAAAATTTTGTTGAATCTATTAATATCCCAAAAGATGTAACGTATAAAAATCAAAAACTTTTATTTGGTTATATTAACATATTTTGTAACAAATAGGTCGAAACGTTACAAAATAAAAATATGTTGATGTAATCAAATAAAAGTTCTTAATTTGTACGTGTTATTTCTTTTAGGATATGAATGAATTAAAAATAAAAATTAATTAACTAATGATAAATTGAGAATTTGTTTGTTCCATTAAAAAACCAAATGTATCAAACTATAGCTTTACAAAAAAAAAATTAAATCAAAAATCATTTGTGAATTTATGGCACAACTTTTTGGTTGTTTTTTCCTCTTTCTTTTAACTGAATATCTAATTGTTTATGTTGGTAACTTTTATTTATTTATTTTTTATTATTTTGCAGATACTTGAATGTATAAGAGCTATTTATGAAACAGATAAATTTCCTGAACCTAGAAGAGCTGCAGTAATGGTTCTAACGTTATTATTCAAAGGTCTTGGTGAAGGAGTATTAAATGTGAGTAACTTCTTAATACACATAATAAATTAAATCCGGTGTACACAATTTGGGTGTTCATCATCAATTACTAAACACAAATTCTATTCAACCAGGAATGGTAAATCTCCAGACATGTGTATAATATGCAATATTATTGATGAGCAATGTTGGGGCTCTGATAATACTTAATGCATTAACATGTATGATTTTCATAAATGGTATTAATTAACATTTTGCTTCCTCATTACCGAAGGTAGGGAAGCATTGTGTTTGTGCGAGAGGTTAAAAAATTGTTTGTGCTCAGAACTAAAATTTTCACTCGCTTTTTACGTTTCAGACATCAAGGATCAAATTTGGTTCGGTGTCTGTCTGTAGTCAAATTGATGTAATGGGCATACCACCTACTTCCGTTTATCCGATTTTCATGAAATTTTCAGGGATTATGCGGATTGGTGCCTAGATGATCCCATATCAATTTTATCAAATTCCATCCAGCACTTCCACTTACGCATGCGCAAACGTATTTTTTTAGATATGCCAATATTTCAGAAAGGGCTTGTTCGATTTGGCTCAAAGTTGGATAAAAGGTAGATATTGGTGAAAAAATAATGTAGTGTCAATTTTATTGAATTCTGTCCCCTATTCTCTTATATATCGCAAACATGTTTTCCTTGATATGTCCATATCTCTAAAACCGCCCGTTCAATTTGGTTCAAATTTGGAGGGAAGTTAGGGATTGCTAAACAGATAATCAGATATGTATGAAATAACACTTCTGCTTTCGGATCAAGAAATTTATTATTTGACACTCCTATAATTTGAAAACTACGTGTTCAATTTGACCCAAACTTGGAAATTTGGAGAGTAGTATAGAAATTAAATGGTATCAATTTCATTGAATTCCATTTAATAATTAAAATTAATATAAATAATTGTTATCAATATAATGGCTGTGAAATGTGGGAGGCATTGATCATCTGGAGTGGTAGTTAGGTTAACTCGCTATTTTTATGGGGCTAGAAAATTTTAGGTTTTATTCGAAAAGTTAATTTATAATGTACTGTTTGGTCAATTCCAAACGTTATCAATCCAAATTTCTCAATTTCATCCTTAAATATCAAAGTTGTGTGAACTTCACACATATTTTTTATCGGAGTGAATTTCGAACAAACAAAAAGTTGGATTTTCCTATTAAGTATATATCACTACTGTTTGTGCGAAAGGTTGTATGTAAATATTTTCAACTTTCATTCTATTGATGCTAAAGTTGACATTTTATAGTCTGCAACTGATATAAGCAGTCTGCTACGATGGGAAATAGCAGAGAGCAATAAAATATGAAATTATACTAATAAATCATAAAGAAACAATTAGTTCTTTTGCTCTACTGTGAACATTTAATTATTTTTAATATGGTCTCAGTATGCAATGATATTTTTTTTTAATCAGGATTCATCAACTATGCAATCTTTAAATGCATAACTCTTTCACACTTTAGTATTCAATGTACAAAACTCGTGAATAACAAACCTGTATATGTTGGGGGATTACTGAATTTCCGAAAACGGCCTCTCCCAAAGATTTTATTCTCCTATGAAAAATGTTAGATCTTGTAATATAGTTAGCCATATAATGTGTCGGTTATAAGAAGAAGTATTCAAATAGGTTTTGCATAAAAAAATTATAATTATTTAAATAAACAAGGTTTTTAAGATAAAAGTTTCTTGAGCATGTAATACATTTATAGCACTATAAAAAGAAGAAAAAATGAAGGTCAGTTTCTTTTTGTGATTAAACTTTTACCTTATTATAACCACTTTCCTTCCTTCAACAAAAAATGTATAGCAAATCATGATGATTATAATGTTTAATTTTGGATTGATATCTACAAAATTACCAGATTTTTTGTTTTTTTTACCAGACATTTTTCCATAACATGTTTTCAAAATGGCCACAAAGAAAAAAGTGAACCTTGAAAGTTTTTTAAACAGTGTTGAACTTAAGAAATAACTGATAACAGATTGACCCTATGGAATAAGGGGACCCTACACGGTCAATCAGAATTGCACTAATGATGTTCCGCATTGTCGTGTAAGGTAGTGAATGAAGTACTGATGGTGGTGCGCTGCGGATTTCTGAACATCTGGAAATCAAAGGTTCATTCACGAGAAGTGGAGGGGGACTGAGGTAAAAGTAGTGGGGAGACTAACCATACTGCTGGATAGGTTAGGTTACCTAGGCCTCACAACCATTATAAATTTCTGATTTTCATTATATGGAAATAGTTAAATAATTTTTCATATCCCTTGTTTATAATTTTAAACCATCTTCAACTATTTCTTTTAAATAGTCAAGTGGGTAACAAATTAACAAAAAAAATGAGGAAACTTCACAATTTACTTTAGGAAAAAAAAAAACTTTAACGTTGTGTATATTTATCAGTTCTTTTCCCATTTTCCTCAACAAATTTATTATTTTCGCAATACCTTTCCTTAATTTTTGTAAGTAGTAGACTTATATTTTACTAAATTTTGTCAAAACAATTTTCTATGAAACTAACCTTCTATGAGACTACTACTAGATAGGTTAGTTTATCTAGGTCTCGTTATTAAGTAAATAGTTGTTTATATCATTAGTCTATATTATTATTAACCATTTTCAACTATTTTTTCTATAAATAGTCAAGTAGGCAATAAATTGAAGAGAAAAAAAAGTGAAAACTTCACAATTTACTTATAGAAAAAAAATCTTTAACTGTTGTGTTTATTTGCCATTAATTTTTCCATTTTTCTTAACAAATTGATTATTTTCGCAGTACTTTTCCTAGATTTTTCTATATAGTTGACTTATATTTTCCTAACTTTGGTCTAAACGATTTTCAGGCACTAGGAAGTAATTATTATATCTCCGTTTTTCTCTTGATGCCCAATATTATAAATGACAATGTCCAAATAAGCATATCTATGCTGTTTCTTTGTTTACAACTGAGCTAAATGGTATCAGCAACGATAAGTAATGATCAGTAATGATTGAACGTGTAAGGGTCTTCATGATCAAAGCGATTGCGGGCAACCTTGGCACTTCTTGTGACGTTCATTCATGAATTACCGTGTAGGGTCTGCTATACTGATCCTCTCCCATGGTCCTAAATATCTAGGTCCCAACTAGAACAGATTAGCAGGACTCTACTATGATACGAATTTCTGAATATGTCTATTTTTAAGTTAATAAAACTAAAGTAAATTATTTATAAAGTAGAAAAATGCAATCAGTTAGATAGTAGACTTCGTAGAATTAGGTTGTATTATTTCTCTCTTAAAAATTTAGTATGGAAAAAAGCCACAGTCCGTCCTTTAAATAAAAATTCTAACTTTTCAAAACCCCTGGCGGGAATAGTGCAATCCCAAGTTTCTAAGTACCTTGAACAAACCAATCAACTTGACCTTTACCAATCTGGTTTCCGACCAGGTTAGTCCACACAATCCGTCCTAATCAAAATCATTAGTGAAGTTCAGTCCGCCATAGATGACAAAAAACTAACTGTCCTTATACCCCTTGACTTTTCCAAAGCCTTTGATACCATTCCATTCTCTTTTCCAAATTAAAATCATTATCCTTTTCCAATAGTTCTATCCTGTGGTTTCAATCTTTCCTCTTTCAACGCTCACAAGCTGTCGCTATCCCTAATCAACCCTTGTCTTCCTGTCTTACTCTGTTCTCAGGAGTGGCCCAGGCTCTAGGATATCTCCTCTCCTTTTCAGTTCTTATATCAACGACATCCATAAATCGATCGTTCACTACTTCCATCACTTCTACACCGATGATTCCCAAATTTACCTTTCCTTCCATCCCTAAGAGTTGCATGACAGGTTTGCCAAAATTCAAGAAGACATGGATCGGATCAGTGCCTGGACAAACTTAAATGGATTAAGATTAAACGCGGCAAAAACTAAAGCCATTGTCATTGGTTCCAAACCCCTTCTCAGAGCGAATACCAACATTCCTATTCTGTACCTAAATGACCATCCCATCACCTTCATCTCCTCAGTAAAAAACCTAGGCATTTTCATAGACCAAACCCTCTCCTGGAAACACCATATTGCTCACATCTCACGACGGTCAATTTGTACCTTGAAACTATTCCATCACTTCCACCATCTTCTACCCATTCCCACACATAGATTCCTTGTATCTTCCCTCACCTAGATTATGGCTGCATGGTGTACGGTGGCGTTTCATCAGAAATCGGGGAGAGAATAAAAATAATTATGAATGCCTTTGTAGGATTTGTCACCGGGATCCTGAGGCGTTCTCGTGTTTCGCACCACTATGCTGAATTAGGATGGCTCTTCCCTTACTTCCGAAGACAATATTTCCTAGGCACGTTCCTTTACCAAATAATCAATAATCATCGTTCATCCTAAGCATACAATCTCCTACAATTCAAATCATCTATCCACACCCTCTCTGCAAGATCTCGTCCTTCTGGCCTTTACAACCCTTTCCACAGATCTGCATCGTTTAAACATTCCTTTGTTGTCTGTTCTACTGCATTCTAGCAACTGGCAAAAGACCAAGAAGTCCAAGGATGGCTATATAATGTGGCTAGACTAGGAGAGAAAAGAGGAAAGCTGTTGGATTCGATGAGGGCATTGGCAAGAGACCGGGACAGATGGAAAGCTTGGGTTGAGGCAATTCCACGCTGAGAGGCACTGAGGAGGAAGAAATAGAAGAAGTTTAAACTTAATTTAAATACGTTATACCATATAACTAAATTGGATGGGTAAAAAAGAGGTCAGGTAAAAACAGCAGCAGACCCTCTTCAAGTGAATGAAGCCATATAAAATACACCCATTTATTTAATAGTAAATAGGAAAAGAGATGAAGGATTCCAAAAGATGTCCCCTTTTTTTGATAAATAAATTTATAACTAATTTAATTGGAGAGATTAAAAACAATAAGAAATAGTAAACAGTCACAAAAACTTCTAGATTTACCGACTAATTTAACATAAATGT